AAGAATATCCCATATGACACAGGCTCCCCCAGGAGGAATGCTATTCACTCTACAGTTGGAAGCAGAATGAGAGTAGGGTGCTTTTCCAGAGAGAAGGGAAGAGAAGAAATTATATCCAGTTAGGGGCTTCCCCGGTGGCACTGTGGTAAAGAATCGGCCTGCAATGCAGGAGATGCGGGAGACCAGGTTTTGATCCCCAGGGCAGTAAGATCTGCTGGAGGAGGGCATGGCAATCCACTCCATACTCTTCCCTGAAGAATCTCATGGACAGAGGAGCCTGGCAGGCCACAATCCATAGGGTCTCACAGAATCAGACATGGCTGAAGTGAGTTAGCACGCATGCACACACAATTTCTCATTCACATCTACTAACAGGGCATGTTACTTCCTTTCACTAAGCCCCAGGGTAAAAGGGGGCTGCACCAGCTTCCTTGCAGGGTAACTGTCAAAGTTAACCATTGGAGCACCTAGCATGCGCTAGGCACATAGAAGCCCGCTTCTTCCACACCAGATCCTTCTCAACTGCTGGCTCATGGAAGCGTGCACCTCTTCCATCACCCTCTGAAAACCAGGACTTGTAACCTCCTTTCCAGAATGCCAGAAACCTGGTGAACCTCAGTCTCTGTTGACAGTGAGCATGGGGCTGGCCTCATCTCCTGGATCTTAGCCACTGGGCCCTGGACTCATGAGGTGCTAAGTACTGCTGGGTGGGCATGGCCTTCTCTGAGGTTCCTGTGGACAGGGCAGGTGCAGTGGGTGCCGTTACATCATAGCTTATGTGACCATCACCCCCTGGAGTTCTGCAGGGACAGTCCATGAGGCCAGCAGCAGTGGTTTCTTAAAGGACCCACAGCCCCACACAATGCCATAAGTTAGGGTCTCCTGGATGGTCCTCAGTGTGTATGAGCTGAGAAAGCACCCAACTCATTCCACTCCTTCTTAGGAATCTTTGCTCTTCTAGAAACACTGACCCTGAGAGACCCATGCTGCTTCTCTGACCCTCATCTATTTCCCTTCCCATTTGTCTCTTTCTCAGTCTTCCCCAGAAGTTGTTGTAAAGTGAAAGTCACACGTTTTTGAATATGAGTTATCACTCCCTGCACATATATTGATTTCCCTGTTTAACTTTTCACTCTGGGTTTCTTAGAAATAAAACACACACACATGTGCACATGCGCACACGCTTTTAACTTGGGAAGACAGAAGATACATGATATTACGGCCTCATTTCCCATCCATGGCAGACATCACTAATCACTCACAGCACTCCTTCCTTCTGAGCTGGGTGCAAACTCGGTGTCCTTTTTCATCATACATTCCAAGCGGAGAGTGAGAATCGGTTGGAATGAGCATGGGAGATGTCTATTTATCTATTTACCATTCCTCAGAAATTCTTACTCAAAACTTACTCAAACCTCCAGCCCTGAATGTACTCCAGATGTCTGCTGTAGGGCACCTTGTTCCTTGGGGATTCATCCTCACACTGAGTGTGACCAATCTGAAATTAAATCATAGCATCTCTTCTCCAAGTAGTCCTCACTCCCAAACTCCTTTTTCCTGTTCATAGCATGCCGTTTTCCTGGTCCTCCAGGCTAAAACAGTCACAGTTTTCTGACCTCTCCACATCTCTGTGTTCTCCCCTTCTCAAGTCCTGCCAATGCCCCCAGCCTGTCACTGACTTTCAGTATTTCTCTGGATTGTCTTTGCTGCCTCAACCGTTTGGACCGTTAATAGGCAGGCAGCAGTGTGCTACTAACAGGGTGGGTGGAAGATGAGCCTCAAGCTGTGAAGCCTTCCAAGTCGAAGGGCATTTCCTCTGTTCTGAGCTCCCAATCTCTGTGCCTCCTTAAGACAGATATTATTTTCACCGTACTTGAGACACGGGAAAATAATGTCCACGAGCTCTGCACTTCATACCCTTGTTGTCACATCCCAGCTCCACCACTTCACTCATCCTTTCCTCCCTCCCTGCTTCTTTCCTTCTCTCCCTCCTGCCTTCCCTTCCTCCCTTTCATCAAATATTTATGGAGCACCAATTACGAACTCAGCAAAGCCTCTACATGTATAAAGTGGGATGGTTAATGTAAACTCTGTAACCCAGTGCCTGGGGCAGAGCAAGTACTGAATAAATAAGTTGGGGGCGACAGTAAAGGCTGATTATCTGGTCTGGAAATGCATCCAGAAATCACCTGACCCCTCTCATGTCACAGAGGAGGAAGCTGCAGCCCAGGGCAGCTGGCCAAGATTCCTGCACAAGGTTGGGCAGAACTAAGACGAGATGCTAGAAATCTCAGTGACAACTCAGTGCGTTTTTTTCCTGCCACCATTGTTGCCTCCATGAGGAGGGTGAATACCCTTGGTGATGCTTCAGGTTGGGGAGGTGAGGCTGACTGTGACCCCAGACAAAGACACACCTTCCACATTCTTACACACACACACACACACACACACACACACACATTTATTTCCCTGTTGAACTGTCCTGAGCAAAATCTCTGGGAGGCAGCCAGGTCCAGAGACCTAGCGCATGGAATAACATAGGGACAATAGTGCAGTTTCTTCTGAAAAGCATCCTGTATCTCCAGCAGAGTCCTCCCCTGCACCTCCTCCCCTGTGCCCCACGTGTCTGGCCTGCACACCCCGCCTGCACTTCTTCAGGTATAGCCCAGAGGGCCGCCCCTCTCTTCCATCCACTGAGTTCGCCTAGCCCATCACAGTCTCCAGGGTGTCTGTCCTCCACGCAGCCCTCCGTGTGAATTTTCTAAAATGGAACTCCAATCATGTCACACCTTTGCTTAAACCTTTTACGTTCCTCATTCCCGCTCTAGCCTTTCTGCTTTTTCAAATGTCATTCCTTTGCTCGTACTATTCCTTAGGATTCTAATAGCCATTTCCACCTTGGCGCTCAGAAGACATTCCACAAAACAAATAAGCAAAAAACAATAAGAAAACAACACACAATCACTGATTTAGAGCATGTGGGTTATAAATGGGAGAAATCCAACTACATCAAGGATAAATACATAAATAGGACTTATAATTGGGAAGTTCAGTGGTAGACCAGCTTCAGGCATGGCTGAAACCAGGGATTCAAATGCTACCAGTAAGGGCTTTCCCCGGCCCCCCCTTTTCATCTAGCTTTAACCTCTGCTAATCTCGGGTCCCTCTGTGCATTGACCACTTCCCACAGATACTTCTTTGTGTCCAGGGAATATGATCATAAGCAGCCTCAATTTGCATCATCCTCATAGCCAAACCTGACTTATCTATGAGGCATAGGAGATGCAGTGCCTTGGGCTCACAGTGCTTTTAGGGGCCCACAAAAATGATTTCATTGCTTTTAAAGCCAAAAGGAAAAAATGAATTTTTGGTTGAAGAAAATGGTTTAATATCTGATATTAATATATTTGTTTTTTATAATACAAGCAGTCATAGCCTGTAATTTTTAATTTTTTTTCTAGAGAAGAGATGAAGGCCAAAGGGCTTAGGGCCCACAAAAGTCACAGTAAGGCCTTGTTTGACTCTTAAGAAAGAAGAGAGACCCTTTCTCTCTGTTTCCATGTGTTAAACCTCCTGGAAAATTTGGTTGTCCCTGATGGGATCATTTTCCAGAGCAAGTCCCTAGAAAGAGGGAGAGCTCTGATAGGTCCACCCTGAGGGGAATTATCAACCTCATATGAACACAAGAAATGTTTCCTGTTAAAAAAATAAAAAGGATTCTGTTTTAAGAAAGTCCACCAAAACTTTCATCTCCCCCAGTGCTCTCCCCTCCCCCAGTGATTCCTTGCTCAACACCTTTACCAGCCCCAGGAAAGCGAGCTGCCTTCCCCTCTACACTCCCCTCATGGCTCCTTCTAGTGTGATTATAACTGATTAAATGAGAGTTTCCTACCCTGGGGTGTGAGCTCCCTGAAGACGGAGTGAAGGAGTAAGCAGCAAAAATCTGGTCTCTGGGAATGAGCAGAAAAAGGGATTGGCTCTGCTTAGGGGTGTGAGGAGACCTTTGATCTGGGTCTTAAAGGCTGGAAGTCTTCCTGGAGGAAGGGGTGTTTTAGCTGAATTTGGTGATGAGGAACGACTCCAGGGAACAGAAAGAGGTGAAAGGCCCCAGGATGGGAAGAACTTGGGGGTATAGAGAAGAATATAGCCAAAGATGAGCTGCAAAGAGAATGGGACGGGATCACCAGTTGGGGAGTAGGGGGCAGGCATGAGTGATACATGAAGGAATTTGGATTTTTTCCTACAAACAAAGGCTCTGAGCCTTGGTCCATGGAGAGGCGAAAGAGAGCCTGAAATTGAGTGTGAAATGTTGTGTCTGGGTGCCTTTTTCTGCAGAGAAGATCCATAGCTTTCATCAGATTTCATCTTAAGAATCACTAGCAACAGAGAGGTATTCAAGCTCCCGGAGGGTGGAGTGCCACACTCTAGAACGTAATCAGAACAGCCTTCTGGCTGCTGCTCTGTGGAGATGGGCTAAAGAAGAAGTAGAGGCTGGGAGAGCTTTGAGAATCTGTTTCAAAAGCCTTAGGGCAATAACACCAAGCGGAGCAATTGGAATTAGAAGATGTTGTAGCCGTAACGTTTAACAGGTGCTTTCTGCATGGTGGCATTGATGGAGAAGAGGAGAAAGTGACTCCAAGACTTCTAGTTTGTATCGTGATCTTATTGTAGGATGTTTAATGAACTATTTTTTAATCTGATGATTGCCTTTGATTTACGCTTCCCATTTAGGTGATGTCTTTTTTTAAAAAATTGAGATTAATTTCAAACTTAAGAATTTTTTTAAGGGTTAACATCTCTGATAAATACAGATTTCCACATCTGCTTTTCCTTTGAGTTGCTGTTGTTGCCATTGTGTCCTGTTCTATGATAACTCTGTGGAGCTATTTGTTGCACCTATTTCTCTTGGTTCTCAATGCATGGAGAACATCATTTAAAGAACAGACAAGGGTTTCAAGACTCTCTGCTTTTCTAAATCCTGACTCTGACACCCTCCACAGCTACCCGCTCCCTTCCCCAGGGCTCAGCAGCTCGGACCGGCTGCCTTTCGGCCTCGAGGAGAATGGGGGCGCTCCGTTTACCACCAAGCCTTCGGGAAGGCATCACCATCACCATCACCAACACCAGCACCACACCAGCTATGGCCTCTCGCTGACCCTGGAGAGCAAGGAGGGGCTTTCCAGGTCCCCAAACTCCAGCAGTAAATCCCTTACAAGTAAGTTGGAGCATCGGGGGCAAGGTGGGGGAGCAGTGCTGCAGGGCGTGGGTGGCTTTCCGAGATGCTCAAGACATCGGTGCAGCTTGGAATGGTGGTAATATCCGAGCTGGGTTCCCAGGTCTGGGTGAGCGCAGACATGAGCCTTGTGCATTAGGCAGAGGTGACTTAGGGATTATGGTTTACCCGCCAGCTCTGGTTTTGTTATGAGAGAGCAGATGTCTCTGCCTCATTCCACGCTGGCTCTCTGCTCCTGCTGTATCATCCAGCACTGGCTCAAGTGGTGGAACAGAGAGAGAGGGGAGTGCGGTGACTGAGTCTCTAATTCCCAACCCCAGGAAAGCTCATTCTGTCACATTCTGTCTCATTCTTGCCTTCTGAAAGCAAGGTGTCAAGTAGATCAAGCGCACACTGCTAAAGTCCCAGTGAGAAGTCATGGAAGTAGAGAATAAATAAATTAGAAATGTTTCTAGGGACTTCCCTGACGTTCCAGTGGTTAAGACTTTGCCTTCCAATTCAGGGGGTGTGGGTTCGATCCCGGTCAAGGAACTGAAATCCCACATGCCTTGCAGCCAAAACACCAAAACAAAACACAAGCAATATTGTAACATTCAAGACAGACTTTAAAAAGGTCCACATCAAAAATATCTTTTAAAAAAAGGGAAAAAAAGAAATGTTTCTAGCAATATGACAGGGTGATTTTGTATCTGTTAAAACTAATTAAAAATGTGGGCTTGGATTTTGTATGCCTGTTCTTTTCTTTTTCTAGAAAATCCTTTTTATTATATTTTTACCAAAGAATTTGTGTATGACAGGAGGTGGGGGGAGAACTTGCTCTTTATCACATGTGGTTTGAACAAGTGTCAAGATAGACGTGAGAATCAAGAGGCTTCGATTCTAGTTCCCATGGTTGAGCCAAGTCCCCTCTTGGATCCAGGGTTTTCTCAACAATGGAATGGGGTGGAGGGAATTGAGATGATGGCCAAGGAATCTTCCAGGTCTGATATTTCATGAGTCTGTGGCTGGTGAAAAGGATGAGCCATTGAGCCTTCACCTGTAGATGGTGAATAGCAATTCTGGGTTGGCTGAGCTAGAAATGGTAACTCATCGTCCACTTTGGTATTGAAAAATTGATCCTATCCTCACTATCCAGGCCAGAATACTGGAGTGGGTAGCCGTTCCCTTCTTCAGGGGAATCTTCCCAACCCAGCGATCAAACCCAGGTCTCTCTCATTGCAGGCGGATTCTTTACCAATTGAGCCACCAGGGAAGCCCCCATATACATTAAATAAATCTTTGGTCATTTGTATTTGGAGTATCTGTACAAATGTCTGTCTCCCAAATGGACTAGAATTGTGTCTCATTCATCTCCTTATTCTAGCTTCCCAAATCCCAGTTGCTATCAATGCCTGGCACAAACTTTAATATGTAATGAATACCAAATGTTTAATGAATATTTAATGTACCCATGGATAAAAACAAGCTAGTGGGAGGAGTGGTGGTGAACTAATCTAACATACAATGAATTTGATTTTAGAAATATAACATGGTTTTTAAGAGCACAGTCGTCTGCCCTTTAGCCTGAACACTAATCTTTGCAATGCTCCTAGTGCTTTTCCATTAATAAAGCATTTGCACATGAATTACCTCACTTAATAATCACAGCAACCCTGCAAGGTAAGTAATCTTACTTTCATTTGAAAATGGCTCAGAGGCTCAGAGAGGTAAAGTAATCTGCCCAGGGTCACCCAGCTCACATAGGGGGGACTTAGACCTTGAAACTTTGACCTTAAAATGTTCCCACATCCCACCCGCTAGTGCATTCCTAAGAGATTCAAGCTGCCGGAGGAGGAACCAGGCAGCAAGGCTCTGAGGGTTGGTCTCTGGTAAGCGTCTTTCATCACCTGTATCTCTCTGCCCTTTCAACCTTTCCTCACTCACTTACAGAACTGAGTCCGGGAACACCTGCCCTTTTCAGCGAAGCCGCTGCCCATCTAAAGAAGCTGGAACTGGAAACTGTGAAGCCTGCTGGACCCTGGCCTGCTCTGCACATCAATATAAATAAGGTGCCAAGGACCAGAGCTGGGTGATGCACGTGGGCCTGGGGTTCACTCACACCTCTCATTATGACCCCGCCTGCCTCTTAAACCATGTGCCTTTGTCTTGGAGGGATTTCTACTCAATCTCTCATGACATTTCTGCTCAGGCATGTCTCTTAGGAGCCAAAATTCACTTATGTTCTTTTGGGGTGGATTACAGCAGTAGGGGCTGCCTCTGATGCTGAGGCCCTCAGCCTGGATCTGTTCGTGGTCCTCTCCGTCCTTCTAACTGAAGTTCCTCCAGGGAAGCCTCCACATTTACCTCCTTCTGGTTTTACTCTGTATTAGTCTGCATGGGCTGCTGTCACAGATTACCATAGACCAGGTGGCTTAATCAGCAGACATTTATTTCTCGATCTGAAGGTTGGGAAGTCCAAGGTCAAGGTGTGGATGATTTGGTTCCCTGGTGAAAGCTTGCTTCCTGGCTGGGAGCCAGTTACCCAGTTACCTTCTCGCGGAAGAGAGGGCTCTTTCTTCCTCTTCTTATAAAGCCATTAATCCCGTCATGAGGGTCCCACCCACATGATTTTATCTCAATCTAATTACTACTTCTCAAAGGCCCTGTGCCCAGATCCCATCACAATGAGGGTTAGGATTTCAACATATAAATTTGGGGAGGACACAGTTCAGTCCACAGCACCCTCTGTCTCTCTCCAACAGCACCTGGCACATCATAGATATTCAGTAACTGTCTGCTAATGGAAGGAAGGGAAGGATTAGAGTGGGGGGGAGGGGGACTTCCCTGTCTGTCCAGTGGTTAGAGCTCCACACTTCCAATGCAGGGGTCGTGGGTTCAATCCCCGGACAGGGAACTAAGATCCCACATGCTGCGTGGTGCGGCCAAAAAAATAAAAGGCTGGCTTAAGTATTAAAAAATAATAATAATAAAAAAATAAAGAAGTAGGGAGGGAGGTCTTGAGGAAGGGACTGGGCAAAAGACAAGTTCTCTTTTGGCTAGATCTGTTCTTATATCCAAATGGGCAGCCTTATAAAAACCAAGTTATATCTTAGAACTGTAGAAGCCAGCGCTGGATTCAATCTGTCATTTATTTCAACCTTTTCAACATCTGAGACCAGAGGAAGGGACCTGGCATTCTTGAAGTCGGAGCAGCGGCTGAATCCCTGGACCCCTGACTCCCAGTACAGTGCCATTTGCACCCCCACATGTTTCTTCAGTTTCTACCCTAGGGTGGCTCAACTTAGGCTCTAGTGATATTTCAGCCTGATACTTTGGGGGAGAGGCTGTGCTGCGCATTGTAGAATGTTTTGCAGCACCCCTGGCCTCTACCCTCCAGGTGCAAGTAGCATCCCGCCATCCTGGCGTGACAACCAAAATTGTCTCCAGACATTGCCAGATGTCCCCTGAAGTGCAAGATTGCCCCTGGTTGAGACCCGCTGTTGCATACACTTTTTAAAATCCTCATAGGAATAGTCTTCTTTACTCATGGGTCATTGTTTCTAACCCCAGTGCTTAGCTTTGCCTTTTATAAGAGGGAATTAACAATTTAGAATTAATTAATAGTATCACTTTAATTATTAATTAAATTATTTAAAGTACAATTTATAGTTATATTAATTTAATTATTCATTAAATTATTAATTAACAACCTCACTTTGCTGACAAAGGTCCATATAGTCAAAGCTATGGTATTTCCAATAGTCATGGATGGATGTGAGAGTTGGACCATAGAGAAGGCTGAGCACCAAAGAATTGATGCTTTCGAACTGTGGTGCTGAAGACTCTTGAGAGTCCCTTAGACTGCAAGGAGATCAAACCAGTCAATCCTAAAGGAAATCAATCCTGAATATTCACTGGAAGTACTGATGCTGAAGCTCCAGTGCTTTGGCCGTTGATGCAAAAAGTCAGCTCACTGGGAAAGATCCTGATGCCGGAAAAGATTTAAGGCAGGAGGAGAAGGAGGTGACAGGATGAGATGTTTGGATGGCATCTCTGACTCATACATGAGTTTGAGCAAACTCTAGGAGATAGTGAAGGACAGGGAAGCCTGGTACGCTGCAGTCCATGGCGTCACTAAGAGTAGGACTTGACTTAGCAACTAAACAACACCAACAAACTAATAATTAATTATTTGGAAGATCTGGCCTGGAATGGGAGCTCCCTTTCCTTACCCAAGTTGTTGAACATGGGCACATTATACCTCCTATCTGGGCTGTTCCTCTACCCTAGACATCCCTCTAGCCTACACTAGACTTCCAGGGTTTCTCAGCAGATTCTCCATCCCCTTGAACCCACCCCAGTAGGGAAACCTCAGGTCCCTCTGATCACTCATGGGCCCCAACTTTAAGATCCTGTTCACCCAGTTTTCTTCACTACTACCCTCCCTGATAGTCAGCTGGAAAAATAATTCTTCCTGCAGGATGGCACTTATATTCATTCAATCAACAAATCTTCATTGAGCAGGCCTGTGCTAGCTGCTAGGAGTCAACCTGATGGATTATGTGCCTGGGATTGGTCTTTCTCTCAGTCTCCAGGTTTTCAACTTTTCTTCTGCAGTCCACACAATAAATCATTTCAATAGGAGCTTACCTGGAGCTTGGCAAAATCAAAAATATTTTGCAGGAAAGTATAGCATACAGTAGCAGAGAACTCACAAGTTGTGTGTAATTTGTAGTTGCTGTGAATCTTGGTGGGACATTAGCAATGGTGACTTGCTCTGGGTTAAGGTGTAGCTGAGACAGCTGTGAGTTATTGAGCACTTGCCATGGACTCGGGGCTTCCCTGGTGGCTCAGATGGTAAAGAATCTGCCTGCAATGTGGGAGACCCTGGTTTGATCCCTGGGTCAGGAAGATCCCCTGGAGAAGGGAATGGCTACCCACTCCAGTATTCTGGCCTGAAGAATTCCATGGACAGAGGAGCCTGGTGGGCTACAGTCCATGGGGTTGAAAAGAGCTGGACACGACTGAATGACTAACTTACACTACTCCCATGAACTCAATCAATAATGCCCCTCTTTTCTCCTTCACATGAAGAAATGGATCAGTGAGCATAGAGGATAGAGTAATGCCAGATAACCTTGACTTTGTCCTAACACATAGGCAAGTATATGACTTCACACTATGACTCCTTATCATTAATAAAAATAATCCTTGCAATAGGCATCATAACTTATCATGATACCACAACTGGGAACCAATGGTTCTGATGGCTTTTAAGGTTTTTTTCAGTCTCAAGAATCCTCTGATTCTTCTAAGGTTTGGATATGTTAATGGTGAGAAGACATTTTGATTGCCCAATTCCAAAGGTGCACCCAAAATTGTCACAGACACTTGAATTTCATCCGATTTGAAACATGTAAACAATTTGTATCAATAGTTGAAAACTGCATCTGGTCATTTCTTTATCCCCAAATGACATCCTTACACAGAAAGGCTATTTCCAATGACAATTATATCAAAGTCCAATTATCATTCATCTGTGTGTTTTGAAATATGAATTTCCATATTGAATAAAACAACCTCTTTTCACAATTCAAATTGAATGTAAAATACAAAATATGGTTACACAAAAGAAAGAAAGCACAGCATCCTTAGAGCCATCCTCCTGGCTGTAATTATCATCTTGCTGTAATTCAGATGTTTACCCCTCACTCAGTTCAGTTCAGTTCAGTCCCTCAGTCATGTCCGACTCTTTGCGACCCCATGAACCACAGCACGTCAGGCCTCCCTGTCTATCACCAACTCCCAGAGTTCACTCAAACCCATGTCCATCGAGTCGGTGATGCCATCCAACCATCTCATCCTCTGTCGTCCCCTTCTCCTCCTCAATCTTTCCCAGTGTCAGGGTCTTTTCAAACGAGTCAACTCTTCACATCAGGTGGCCAAAGTATTGGAGTTTCAGCTTCAACATCAGTCCTTCCGATGAACACCCAGGACTGATCTCCTTTAGGATGGACTGGTTGGATCTCCTTGCAGTCCAAGGGACTCTCAAGAGTTTTCTCCAATACCACAGTTCAAAAGCATCGATTCTTTGGTGCTCAGCTTTCTTTATAGTCCAACTCTCACATCCATACATGACTACTGGAAAAACCATAGCCTTGCCTAGATGGACCTTTGTTGACAAAGTAATGTCTCTGCTTTTTAATATGCTGTCTAGGTTGGTCATAACTTTCCTTCCAAGGAGTAAGTGTCTTTTAATTTCATGGCTGCAATCAGATGTTTACCCCTCATAGAGATGCCTTTTATGCAAACATAAATGCAATGATACTCAAGGTTTCCAAAATTTGTGTTGGTTCTCACCTGAGTCAAGTCATAGAGCTGAAAAGTAGCTTCTGCTTGGTCAGATAGAGCAAGAATAAGCCAGCTTGAATTTTCTATTCAAAAAGCAGTACAGAATTCCTAAATTCAAAGGGGAAATCAATGTTTAATTCTCACTGATTTCTTATTTTAACAGCATTTTGTTTTCTTTTCAAAGTGGGTCTTTGGTCATTACTGTCAGTATAGCTATATCCCCTTAAGCAATTGTCAAAAACCTCAAATGGGCTTTAGAACGAGTTCAATTCTTGTATTCCAGCATATCATTCCAAAAAATTAAATCTAATTAAAAATTAACCTTCATACACCTGTGAAAACCTCATGGTAGTGTTAAACAGTTATCTTAATTAACAGGATTTACAAATACAAGATAAATTATCTTCAAACTATACTGTAGTGCTCATCTTTCAAAATAAATATTGCTTATAGTTTTTTGCTTTTGTTTTACAGAATGCCAAGTTTCTTAGGCTACTGATTCCCTTCAAAAGAATCTATTTTCTTTGTACCCAACTTGATGGCTTAGGATCATTAGTGTCCTCACATCTGTTTTTCTTTTTTAGTTGCATTTTTGTTTCTAACATGCAAGTACCATTCATATCTTTTTTTTTTCTCTCATGTGATTGTCATGATAATCTTATGAAGAAAGAAACTGAGCCTCAGAGAGGTGAAGGGGAGCCAGTGTGGCTGGGTGGTCAGGGCTTTAGCTTTGGAGTTACCCAGTCCTGAGTGTGAACCTTGGCTCTTCTGGGTATTATGTGTTCTTGGGCAAGTGACTTACCATCTCTCTGCTTTGTTTTTCTCATCTATAAAACGGGGATTGTGATAGTATCTACCTTCAAATGGGATGGTTAAATGAGAGGATTCAATGAGACATGCATCTTAAATCCTCCCTCCTCCCCTCCTTCTCATCACCATCACCATCTACATCATCATCTTTTTTTTTTATGGTGCTAATAAGGAAAAGAGCTAAGATTCAAATCCAGGTCTTCTGTCTCTTTATTTTACTGTGTTGTGAAATTGCTGAGTTCAACTTGTCCTACTGAATACCCTCCATGTATTTGGAGGTCCCACTGGGAAACTGCATTCTCTGCTCTCTTTTCTTTATTCAGTGATATCAACCAGCCAATTGCCCTATACTTCCTCTGCAGCTTTCATAATACCCCTGCTGTCTGTATCGAGGTACTCAATAGGAGTTTTGAATTAGTGGATGAGGTTAATTTTGAAACTTGCAGAATTGGAGGTCTTTACATTTTGTTCTTGCTCAGGTACATTATGGCTAATATGCCATATTTAGTCCTGATGTCTTTGAGTAGTCACATGGTCTTATATCTTTCTTATTAAACACATATCATCTAGTAATTACTATCTATTATAATCTTCTTCAGTGGATATTTTTCAAACATCTTCTGTATGCTGGGCACCATAGAAGCACTGAGATATGCAATAAGGCATTATTTCCCAGAGTGTGATATGTGTATCATCAAAGTTGATTTCAAGTTATATATATAGATGAGTATTCTTTAATAGTTACATATTTATCACAATTTATGTTATAATAAATAAAATAGCCACCAAGTCTATGATTTCAAAGATATTATTGCTTAGGACACATTTAAAATAGATAGCCCCAGGGTATTCCACTTTAATTGGATTATACGAATTATAGGTACATGTTTAGTTAATACATGAGAAATGGCAAAAAAAAAAAATAAGAAAGGTGGCATTAAATTATTGAAGTCTGAGATACTCTACAGTGAGGCAACAGATACAGATTTCTTATTGAGAATAACAATTTTCAGCAAGATTATTGTAAAAATATGAATGGCCCTTGAACTAACAAGTCACAGACGATCCCATGGAGAAGGAAATGGCAACCCACTCCAGTATTCTTGCCTGGGAAAATCCCATGGATAGAGGAGCCTGGTAGGCTACAGACCATGGGATCACAAAGAGTCAGACACAATTGAGTGACTGAACACATACACACACATACATGTCACAGTATGTGACTCAGAGTTTGAGTCCTGGTTCTGCCACTGGCTCTGGCTGCATGAATCTGAAAGAGTCTCCTTGGACCTTCCCGGTCCTGTGACTCGTGAGCTTCCTACCACTTCCTCTCCCTGCTTCACACGAGAAGGAGGGGATGCGCTTGTGAATCCTTGGCAAATAGTAAAAGCACTGGTACAAACCCAAGGAGTTGGTGACGCACTTGACTCTGTGTTATTTGCAGTGATGATGGTTGGGAAAGATTAATGTATGTGTTTCCTTAGTTCTTCGTTTACCATTTGTTACATGTATTTTGGTTCATCTTAGGCCGAAGAGAAAAAAGTTTCTGAAAAGACTCTTCAGACCCCACTTTTGCCGTCCCCCGTGGCTGATCACGTGAAGTGTAACATTTTGAAGGCCCAGCTGGAGAACGCGTCCCGAGTGAGTGCCCAGGTGCGTGCCTGCAAGCCTGTGATTTTATGTCACGAGGTTTCATCAGGAACGTGTAGATGAGGTGCTCTGGGACTGCTGTGTCAGTCGGGTCCAGCCAGGACGTAGGAACCACACCTGTTATGTGAATAGAGCTTTTAATATAAAGAGTTATTAACCAGTGTAGTTATTGGATTGGCCAAAAAGCTCATTTGAGTTTTTCATAACGTCTTAGAGAAAAACCTGAAAGAACTTTTTGGCCCAAACCCAGTAGTAGTTGAGGAAGTAAAAGGGCCGGCTCTGTACGCTGTGGTGGGTCTGAGGGCCCCTGGCTGCTACATCTCCTGTTGATCTCCAGCGTGAGCTCAGCTGGCCTGGCTGGCTGCGTGGGTGTCCTTCCTTCCCCACACTTCTTTGTGGGACTCACTAGAGGGAGGAGGACAAGGCTTCTTTCAAAATCACATGACGTGACTCCTCCCGGGCTTGCTACACTGATGTGAAAGGACAGATTCTAAACTCTTTTCAAGGCGCTAAGTGCTATGTGAGCATGGAGCTGCTTATTATTCCTGATCTAAAAATGTGAGGTAGGGAATTAAACTGTGGGTCTGACTTTTCCTACACCACCCTTTTCTCATTCAGTCCTGAGCTGACACGTAGCAGGTACTCGATAAGAGTGTGAATGCAAGCATTGACTGTATTTGAATGATTAAGTGTTAATCCCCATGATGGGGAATGACTCAAGAAAACATTTTTTTGTTAAATTAAATAAACACCGGCGGGGGGGGGGGGGACTGGTTATTGACTGAGTACTTGATGATCTATCTCTCTCATAAACCGTCACGTTTCTATAATCCTTTGAATGTAGGACACTTGGGAACATTTTTGTGTACCAAGATATTAAGTTTTGACTAACCTGCCTGTTTTCTTTAGCAGGTTGGAAAAGAGGAATCAACGTTTGTAAATATTAATAAGAAATCCACTCTTCAGGACGCTAATGTAAGGTCTGTTGCTTCTTGGTTGAATGGGGAAACAATAAGTACCATCAACATTATTCTCAAAACGTTACTCATGAGGGCGTTTGATAATAAAGTAGAGAAGAAAAAGAAAACTGAGAGAATGTGAGCCTGAAGAGAGAAAAAGACTGTCTCAACTGCCTTTATGTCTCTGTTTTAATATTTCTACCTGCTGTACTAACAAGTCATTTTGAGTTCCTTCTCAGGCATGTTGATCTGACCATGTCAGTCCCCTGTTTAAAGTCAGGGTGGAGTCTGGACCCCTTAACAGAGCAGAGGGAGCCCTTCATGACCTGGCTTCTGCTCACTGTCTCAGCTCAGTTCAGTACCCTTCCCTTGGTCCATCATCTGAGCCCCTGGAAGTGCTAGAGTCACAAATGTTCTTTAAAGCCCCCAGACCACCACCAACCCAAACCCAGAGAAAAACCTTTCTTTCCTAATCTCATAGAAAGTAGACACTCTTCACCTCTCTGTGAATAACCACCTATAGATCATGGCAGCCCCATGGACACCTTGGCAGTCTGCTAACACCGGTTGGGTCTCCCTAGGATAAAGTTTCCTAAAATGTATCCAAGGAGGACTGCATCAGTATCTTGTTAAGAGCAAAAACTACAGTCCTACTCCAGACCTTTCAGATCCTTTGGTGGGAGGTAGGGCAGTTTTGGCGGGGGTAGGGGTGTTGTAGTGGGGAAAGGCCAGAAACAAGAATTTCAAAAAACACCTTATGTAATCTAGGAAACACTACCCTGGGAAATTCTTACACTTGATGCTAAAAATAAAAATGAATCTTTTTCTATGTTATCTTATGATGCCTAGTCCATGTTCTTGGTATAAATTCGTCTTACTCCAGAGACACATACCCAGCTGCCTCTTGGACTTTTTGAAACCTTAATTCATCTCTTCCAGCCCTACCCTGCTGCCCATTTCATCAGTTTTCCTCTCTTGGTTAATGTCACTGTTGTGTGCACTCGTGTGCTCAGTCGCTTCTGTCGTGTCTGAGTCTTTGCGACCCTATGGACTGTAGCCGTCACGCTCCTCAGTCCATGGGATTCTCTAGGCAAGAATGTTGGAGTGGATTGCCATTCCCTTCTCCAGGGGATCTTCCCGACCCACGGATCGAACCCACATCTCCTGCGTCCCCTGCATAGCAGGCAGATTGGTTACCAATGAGCCACCAGGGAAGCCCCAATGTCATTGTTCCCTACCTGTTATTCAGACCTGATGCCTGGGAGTCCTTGACTTTCTCCTATTCATGCCCTTATCTAACTGGTCACCAAATCCTGCCAATTTGACTTTCATATTATCTCCCATGCCCATCCCCTGCTTATCATGACCCTCTTCTCAACCTACTCCCCAGCCCTCACCATTTCTCATCCTGGATAATCACTATTACAGTTTTCTAAGATGCTCCATCTGGCCTGTCCTCACCAGCATCCTTGTTGCTCTAAGGGCCTTTCTAAAATGTAAGTCTGACCATGCCACTCGCTTGCCAAAAACCTTCAGTGACTGCCTTTGCCTTTATGTAAACAACTCAGCTTGAGGCACCTCATGCATGGGCCCTGGTTTCCCCTCTAGTCACAAGCCCCTGATCTTACCTTGTTTTTGTTGTTCAGTTGCTAAGTTGTGTCTGACTCTTTGTGACCCCATGGACGGTAGCATACCAGGCTTCCCTGTCCTTCACTATCTCCCGGTACTTGCTTGGATTCATGTCCATTGAATCAGTGATGCTATGACTTTACCTTACCCATCAGCAGATCTGGGTCTCCACTCCGTCTCCCACCTTGGAAGTCTTCCCTCCATCTGCTTAAGTCTAAACCCCTCCTTGAAGCTTTCCAAACACCACCCATTCCACCCTAGCAAAGTAATGTGCTCCCCTGAGTTCCTCCAAGGACTGTGTTCAGTTGCCTCTAGGGGCCTAGCTTGAGGAAGTCATGAACCTGGAATACACTGACTATTTCATATTTGCTCATTTATGTTTCTTTAGCATTTGTTGCACTCTGGCCACATACCTATCCCCACCAAATTAGGCACTCAGTAGAAGGGAAGACAGGGGATGAGATGGTTAGATGGCATCACTGACTCAAAGGACATGAGTTTGGGTAAACTCTGGGAGTTGGTGATGGACAAGGAGGCCTGGCGTGCTGCGGTTCATGGGGTCGCAAGGAGTTGGACATGACTGAGCGACTGAACTGAACTGCACTAAGAAGGGAAGATGGAGGCCCAGATGTGTTAACTGACTTACTAGAAGTCTCTTGCCAAGAATCTCAGTTTGTTTTGATGTCCATTGGTCCCAGAAAGTACTTACTGTTTTTTTTTTTAAGTGAAATCACTCAAGCATAAAAATGTATAAAAACTTTTCCTTAAAATCACACTTAGGAGTAAGCCCTTGGTTAACTGGCATGTTTTCTTGAGAAAATATAAAAATGAAACTTAATTTTTAACATTTTAATCTGGACATAGAATTTAAATGTTTTAGAGTGAGTCTTAAAGTCTTCTGATTATATATTTTTTATATGAACTACTCTATCATTCTTTATCTATTTAAAAAATGTATTCTGTGTTATGTTTAAAATAACATAGATACTAGATTACTCACTTGGAAGTAAAAATAGGCTATCCATAGGTTTCCCTTTACTCGTTTCACTGGCAAAACCTGGTTATGAACAAAAACCTAATATTGGGAAGGGGTGTTTTGGGCAGAGAAATTTCATGTGATACCCCAATCATGTTCAGTTCCTGCTTGCTGTATTTTCCTCCTTATAATCTTTTTATTTTGGCTTTTCTGTGGTATTTTTAAATAATTATATGTAATAGGTAGAGTGAAGAGGAGGAAAAAAAACAGTTATCTTGACTATCAGTGTTAGTAAGGTATAAATTAACTGAGAAAGCAGTCCCTACTGTCAAAACCAGACCATGAACCTCTTTGTTGGTGTTGTTCTGCTTTTCTGATGTGTCTCTAGAAGTCCTATTCCTATACGTGTGGAAACTACACAACCAGCTATGGAAAAGCCGGAGATCAAGCCTCCCCGAGTGCGGAAGTTAACAAGACAATACAGCTTGTGAGTTCCATGCTGCAAGTTTTTCAATTATAACAACAAAGGTGATGCCAAATGTCCAGTTGTAAATGCTTCTTAGCCCTTCACACCCATCCCAAAGGACCACCTCAAAAATACAGTCTATTTTCCAATTAAGTCATAATGGTGGTGGATCTTTCTCCCTGAAAACATGATACAGGTGGCATATGCATTCCTTATTGACTGCTTTATAACAAATTACTACAAGATTTAGTGGCTTAAAACAATCTGCATTTATTTTCTCACAATTTCTGTGGGTTGGGGTCCAGGCATGGCTTAGCTGAGTCTTCTGGGTCAGAGTGTCTGTTAAGGCTGCCTTCAAGATACTGGCAAGGTCTACAGCCTCATCTGAAGGCTTATTCATACAGTGTGGGGCAGAACTCAATTCCTTGAGGGCTGTTGGACTGAGGACATCATTCCTTGCTGGCTTTTGACTGGAGGTTTGCCTTTAGTTCCTAGACATGTAGACCTCTTCAGAGAAAATACACAAGAAGAGCCAGAAAGACTTCTAGAAAGGCAACCTCACAGCCTTTTATAACCTAATCTCAGACATGACATTTCATCACTTTTGCCATATTCTCTTCATTAGAAGCAAGTCACCAGATCCAGCCCACACGTAAGGGGAGGGGCTTCCTCAGGGCACAGATAGCATAGGAGGAACGTGGGGAGCTATGTCGTATGCTGTCTCCATTGTGCCTTAGTGAAATGCTAGCACTGTCTGTCAATAGAGCCCAAGCTGATCCCTGAGCAATAAGAAGAGCTCTATTCCTGTAGGAATTTCCTGGTGGCTCAGTGGTAAAGAATCCATCTGCCAATGAAGGAGACGTGTTCAATCCCTAGTCTGAGAAGATCCTTGGAGAAGGAAATGGCAACCTACTCCAGTATCCTTGCCTGGAGAACCCCATGGAGCCTGGCATACTATAGTCCATAGAGTTGCAAAGAGTCAGACATGACTTAGTAACTGAACAACAACAACAAATTTGTGTAGGAAGAACCATATTCCTGTAGCAGGAGCCCATATTCCTGTGGGAGGAGCCATAGAAGCCACATTCCTGTGGAAGGAGCCATATTCCTGTGGGAGGAGCCATATTCCTGTGGGAGGAGCCATATTCCTGTGGGTGGAGCCGTATTCCTGTGGGAGGAGCCGTATTCCTGTGGGTGGAGCCGTATTCCTGTGGGAGGAGCCATACTCCTGTGGGAGGAGCCGTATTCCAAAGTATGCCGGAACCAGCAGGACCGGTCCAGTTCTCTTGAACTTAACAAAAGCTTCCTAACTCCCTCGTGCACAGGGATATTCTAGCCACTGTGAGGGAAGAACAAAGTGACTTCAACAATTCCCATGCATGACTTAAATTTATTAGAGGGAAAGACAGATTATAAATAATTTTAATCCAAAGAGGACAGGTTAATGCTGCAGTTAAATGTGGTGGTACATTAGTAAAACCACAATGGTCCTATTTCTTGACCTCAGCTATGGCCCAGGTATCGTGTCTGGATATATAATTGGTCAGAGAGCTGCAAGGGGATCTTTGGGTGCAGGGCAAAGCATGGGACTCTGGAGTGAGAAAGGCTTCTTGTTTACTGTCATAAGCTCTTGGGGAAATTACTCTTTGAATCTCCCTGTAATCTGTAAAATGGACAAAGATTTTGTGAGGGTAAACATAAGACAATGTGGGTAAGCCTTAGCAAGGGACCGGGCTGAAAGATGAGTTACTCTTGCTTTCTTATGACGCACCTGAACAATGTATAGGACAAGGGGCGAACTGTTGATGCAATTCTCCAACAGCCGCCTCTGGCCTGCCACTTGCACCTTCTGAAAAGGAGAAGGGGGAGTGCTATTTCAGGACAGACACATTCCACCTCATTAGCCTTAGTAGAAATTTCTGGACCGTATAGCAGCTGTATTTCCTAGGAAAGTCAACATGAAAAAGCTTCAAATAATTAACATTCCTAATGATCTCTGGGGGACAGATTAACCGATGAAAAATCTGCTTCCCAGAGGATAAAGTTGGCAAGATTAGCCTTTCATTTTACATTTCGAAATTCAAAATGTTATTATCACCCATTCAGGATATGTAATCATGTTGGAAACAATGACTAATACATGGCCTGGAAGGAAAGAAAATTTAACTAACTCACCAAATTGCCTCTTTTAAGGAAACCCTTTTTGAACCTCTGATTTCATGTGTATTTCTTAAGATACCCAAAGTATTCTGGTTTGAAAATCAAAGAATGGCACCATTTCCCCCATTAGTAGTAAATAGCAAAATTAACAGATAGGATGTTCCCAGTTTTGCATTTTCATCCCATAAATAGTTCTTGTATTGTCAACACTAGTTACCACTACTTTACTCAGCTCTTCCACTCACAGATATTGATGAGGTTAATAAACACATGGTTAAGGGATATAGACTGGAAAAACTAAGATTTCTCATTCCCTCAAAAATAATTCTGCATCATTATTTTTGACATGTGGGGAGGTGTGTGCCTTTTTTAGTGGTTACAGTATTACTAGTCCCTAGGTCAGAATTATATGTGCTTGTTTGGGCTTTAAGCTCCTTCATTAAAGCATCATGATATTTAGGTTCTCTGAACAGGTTTTCAAACTGCTACTTTTTAGGATATAGACAAAAATCTCAGCTGTGTTCTTTTCTTGAAATACAGCATAGGGAGGAAAAGTGTGGCTGCTGTATTTAGAGTGAAGAAATTAAACTTTGTACAGAGTTTAAGGCAGGTAAAGTATATCTTTATATTGAGATCAGCTGATATGTTTAGAAAATGATGATCTGTTAGGTTTCCCCCATAAATTGAACTTTACTATTTATTTAGATATAGTGTAGGGACTTCCCTGGCTGTCCAGTGGTTTAGATTTTGCCTTTCAATGTAGGGGGCATGGATTCGATCCCTGGTAGGGGAGCTAAGATCTCACATGCCTCACAACCAGAAAACCAAACATGAAATGGAAGCAATATTGTAACAAATTCAAAAAAGACTTTAAAAATGACCTACATTAAGAAATATTTTTTAAAAAAGGTAAAAATAAACATAGTGTAAAAATCTGAAACTATTCAGGCAAGACAGAAAAATCCAAAGGGAAAAGGAGCTAATCCCATAGCATCATACCATTGAAAATAACCAATGTTCACCTTTATGACTATCACTCTAGACATTTTTCTATGCCTTTGTTTAAAACAGAAAGGAATCATTTCAAAGAAAAGAATCATACCATATGTAAAATTTTACTTATTAAAATGTTTCATGAATTGACCTGAGATACCATGTGTTTATCATATGTCACATTGATAACAGAAGTTATTTAGCCTGGCTCAAGACCTTTAGTATGCTATTCAGCAGGATATTCCAAGGGTCCAGGGGTTCTCTCAGGAGCTTGTCAATGAACAGTGTTTCCTTTGGAATGTACAGGGTTCAAGCAAGCTTTAGCACTTTCCTGCACAGGCAGGAATCTGGTTGGCATCAGGCAATAGGGAACTTGTCTTAATTTCTGTAAGTTTGAGAAAATACTGTCCATGCCAAGAGTGGAGGATTTGATGGTGCTTCTCTTTGCCAGGATGATCTGACCAGAAAGTCTTCCAGCCTTGGCATATCTTGTGAGAAGTCAAGCCTTCCCCATAAGTTCAGGCTCTGGAGATGAGCCCCAGGTGCCATCCTGGAACTTCTCCTCCCTCATGATGACTTCCTGTCCAGTGTCCTTTCCACCGTGGGTCTTCCCGTTTGATCAGAGAGGGTCTAAAATCAGAACTACTTGATCCCAAGGCAATTGTGCCCACCTCCTCCTTTATAACCAGTTTATCACCAAAGGGACAGTTGCTGTTAGACCATAAGAGGAGTCTCATTCAAAACAGTAGGTTTCTACAGCTCTTATATTTACCCTTATATGGGAGGCTACTCAGAATAACATCCCTTGGTTTGGTGGTTCCTCAAAATGTTAAACATAGAACTATTATACAACTCACCAGTTCCCCTCCTAGGTAGAATTCTAATCCAAAAGAGTTGAAAGCGGAGACTCAAACAGATGTTTGCACACGACATTCATAACAATAGCTAAGTGGCAGAAACAACCCAAGTGTCCATCAACAGATGAAGGGATAAACAAAATATAATCTATCTATACAATGGAATATTATTCAACCATAAAAAGGAATGAACCTTTGACTTATGCTACGATATGGATAGATCTTGAAAACATTATAGTAAAAAAAAAATAATAACCCAGATACAGAGAAGTATTTACTATATAATTTCATTTATATGAGGTACCTAGAGTAGTCACATTCATTCGGACAGAAAATCATGTCGGGGAGGGGTGTAAAATTTCCCCTTCCCCCTTTCTGAGTTCTTGTGGCCAGACTAATAATAAAATAAGAAGACAGGTTATTAGGAGAACAGGGAACAAGTTTTAATTCATGCACATGGACATCTCATAGAAATAGCACCTAAGAAGTGGCCAAAGCAGGCAGCTTTTGTACTTTTTAGACAAAGAAATAAAAATTTTGTAAGGAATTGACAGGATAAAGAAACTTAGGTTTTGGGTGCTCAATTAGTGAAGCATCTAAACAGTTTGGTCTTGGGGTAGTAACTTAAAGAAGTAGCAAGGTTTGTTTATATAGGCTTCTTGGCCTACATTCCCTATCTCTGTGATAAAGGGGTCTTTCTGCCTGCTATAGGGAATACACCTTTCACATGAGAGATTTATATCCTGCTTTCAGGGAGACAGAGAGGAGGGTCAGAGTGCTGGTGACCATTTCTTAAGTAACTTAATTCAAAATAATCAATATGACAGACCTTTATACCACATAACAAGCTGAAAGGAGAAAGTCTGTCAGAAATTAAGGAACAACTTTTTGCAATACTTTACGTTATAATTTGACATTATGAAGAGAAGAAGAAAACTGGAGACCCTCAGCAGAATTTCAGTATTCTCTTGGAAGCCAGTACAAGCTATATATGTATCTACATTTTTCAACCTCTCATGAAATGTTTATTTTCAATTTTCTGCTTATTCCCTTGTCCTCTCCTAATCATTTTATCATGTGCATCCTAAGATCATTGCTCTTCCACTTCCCATTTTCCAGACTCTACTTGTAAGCACTCTTTGAAGGGGAAAAGAAGCACACAAATGCAAATATTTCTCTTACAAAACCCTTAAAGTCATACTGAAATCCTCACATTGAAATTTATGTACCTCAGTACGAGTAAGTTTTCTTATCCCTACATAACTACTATTTTGAAAAGAAACACTTAACACACAAGATAGGGAGTACAAACTATACTGATGAATATTTATTTCTGATTTAAATGCCAAAAGTCATTGCTTTTTCTGACTAAATGCCAAAGGACAAAATTACCCTAAATTGTTTTTAAAGTGCAACTTTTCATAACTAGGATATTATATCTCATATGTATTTTATTTAATGGTAAAAATATCTCTTATCCGATTAATAAAAAAATCCTGTGGACATTTCCAGAAATAAATTTTCAGTGATAGTAGTAATTCAATCTTTCCTTCAGGGTCTTCAAAAAATGCTATATAAAAATGTATTAAGTTTTTTCTCCATGTAGTTTTATTAAAATTAAAACAACTCTATCTTAATAAAAAAATTAATATGCCACTGTGGCATAATTGCGGGTGGCCCACTCTGAGCCCCAACAGCAGAACAAACTTTACCGGGGACTACAGGGAGGGGACCATGGGGAGATATTGTTTGATGAGTACAGAGTTGCTGTTGAGATGATAGAAACGTCTGGGGTATAGATAAAGTAATTGCTATCCAGCATTGTGAGTGTCTTTAAGCCACTGAATTATATACTTACAAATGGATAAAATGATGATTATTATGTTATATTTTTATATTAAAATATATTAAAATTTGTTTTTCATCCCTTGGCAAGTGACAGAAAATCCAGCCCAAATTTGCTTTGGCTAAAGGTCGATATATTGGCTCCCGTAAGCTGGACATCTGGTAGACATCTGGGGAGACCCCAACCCCCACCCGAGCTGTCCCAGCCCTCCCCACCTACCTCCACTCCCCGCAGCCTGTTTATTATTGTAATGAGCAGAGCTTCATGTGCTTTTAGTAACCGCAGTGACGAAGACGACCTCCCTCCAGACCTGGCCGAGGCAGTGGGAGCGACCACAGCTCCAACCACGGCCACCGCCACCGCCACACCAGTCTCAGTGCCGCTGCTGTCCCCCAAAGCTCACAAGATCAGCTCGCCTCAGAGCTCAGAAGGCAGAGGCCAGCTGTCCCCGGGGGCCAAGGTACGGGAGGAGGCCTGAGGAGCAGCTGCACTTACTGCAGTTTCTGCGTAAATGCAGTGTGTGGCATCTGCGTGCATTCGAGCTTTGTGTCATCAACTCTGGGTGCTCCTAAAACAACAGTAACAACCACATTTGTTGTTGTTGTTGTTTTAATATAATCTGTCCCTGAAAGATAACCGTGTATGAGAGATAAATAGTATAATATGAAAGCATGTATTCTGCACTTAAAGGGAAATTTAAGAGATTTCTGAGGGCAGTTTTGGTTTTAGAATATCATCCCTACAAACGCTATTACTCCACTGTGAAGGCAGAAAGTGAGAAATGGCTTTTTACTCACCAAAATGGAAAATCTGGAGAAGTAAAAACCTAGAAGTATCCCCATCTCGTTCCTTATGGGAGATAGCCCGTGTTGATAGTTTGAAATTGGTCAATATTCTATCTGTCAGCTTGAAATTTCAGGAAATTGCCAGTGGTGTGAATGGGCTGTGACAAAGGTCTTACACAAGACATTTCTCTTGGTTTTCTTTGAGTGATGCTTGGTTGCAGTCACTCTTCAGCGATTGGTTTTGCTCTCCAAGCAAATGCTGGGTCAAATGTTGCTTGGTCCCTTGATCCCGCTGAGGAATGCTATGTGCATGAGACGGGGCCCCCCAAGGCAAGACCAGAGTCACAGAGTCTATTCCCAATTGTTCCTTCAAAACCTATGGCTGCTTTAAATGAGCAGTCACTCCATGGACCTTGTTTCTTTGAGCCTGTTTCTTCTTCCCAAAAATGGGAGTAAAATCTACTACCCTGCCCAACCAGTGGAGATTAAAGTGCTTGTGCAAACAGGATGCCTGAGGCTTCTGCAGCTCCAGGGAGCACGATTCCCAGTAACATCAGAATAACGAGAGTCCAGGCCACACCCTGCATGCCCACGGGCAGTCTTTCAGGGGGTCCATTCCTGGGGGTCTCTGGGAATGCCTCCAAGTTCCTCAACAGAATCCGGGCTGGACCCCCTCAGCCTGTGACCGGCCCAGACTGAGGCTTCCTGCTTTTCTGTAGATCACCTCCTGGGAACTGGAGTCGGGTTCCCCTCCACTGTGCCGAGTCCCTACACTGCTTTGTCCCAAGTGTGGACACAGGATCCTCTCTATATCCCAGGCCATGGTTAAAAACCACGCGAACACATTTACGAAACAGAAGGGAACTGGGTTGGAGACGCAGGCGGCATCCTATCAGAGGCCACAGGGCTCCCTCTCCTGGCCAGCTCTCTCCTTAGGGTTCTGCTTGCACCAAGTTAATGAGATTTGAGACTTACTTTTTCCCATATAGGGCTTCAAGGCCCCCATGCTGCTGAGACTCCAGGGCAAGACAGAAAAAATTTTTCCAAAAAATGAAAGACCCCACCCTCCCACCAGAAAGCTTTTCCTCACTATTGTGCAGATGAGTTTAGCTCCTTGGGGTCTTGGCCCCCTGGATCCAAGATAGGGTTTTTTCTTTCTCTTTATACATTCAAAGGGCTCTTTGAAGTATTTTCCCCCCGAAGGCCAGTCAAAGAGCACTCAGAGCATTTAAGAAAAATTGTTTGCAGCTTCAAAAAAGACAGTTCCCCCTCCCTATAACCTGCTTCTACCCATGAAGATGTCAGAAAAATTGGGGTTTGGTCTCAATATTTTGTACCCTGCTGAGCAAGAAAACCGTGATGGGGGGGTTGGCGTAATAATGAGTTCAGTGCTAGTAAGTGAGGGGAGGAGACAGGTAGGGGACACCTGTATTTTCTGATGAAATTCCATGGTCAGTCGAGAGCCAGCACTCACTGGGCTATTTCTGTTTTCAGGTTGTTTTTATTTTTTAATTGGAAGATCATTGCTTTACAATGTTGTGTTGATTTCTGCTACACAGCAGCGTGAATCAGCTATATGTATATGTACAGCTCCTCTCTCGTGAGCCTCCTTCCCGCCCCTAACTGGGATGTTTTTGTCTGCCTCTGTAGAGCCCCTCTAACCGCGGAGGTGCCTTTACCTTGGAGCCGGGGGATCTCCTAATGGATTTCACGGAAGCCACTCCTCTGGTAAACTTTCCATTTTGCTAAAACCAGAAAAGCCGCAGACCGTAGACATGCCTTGGCAGTGGGACGGATGGACGGAGGTGGGCATCACCGAGGGGCAGGCTCTCCCTCTTGTCCTGCTCGCAGCCTGGAGGCTCAGGGTCAGCTTTCTTCCAGGGTTCAGGTGTCAGGGGCCCCTCCACCCCCCAGAGCCCCCAAGGGAGGGCAGTGTCCCCCTTCCTCTGAGGGCAGCAGCAGGGGTCCCGCCCCACCTGTCTGCTGGTCCTTGAGCCTCCTAGGGCTCCTCCGAGCCTGACTCTCGGGTTCTCGGCTTCCCGGGCTGTGCCCCGCATGCCTGCCGTCGGGTATCTCTTGCTGTCTCTTCCAGCAACATGCTCTGGCCTAAAGCACTGGCTCAAGGCCTCACCTTGGCTTTCCGGGCCCCGTGTGCCTCCCTACCATCCGCCATCCTCTGCAGACAGGTCTCTCCTTCGGGATGGGATTCCTGCAGGTGGGAAAGCCACTTGGGGGAGGGAGCACTGGACCAGGACTCATGCAGACCAGAACTAGCTCCAGTCTCTGCTCCTCACCTTAAGATCCTGGCCACTGGATAATTGCTGCCCCATCTTCTGTTCAATAAGGATGTCACTGTTTGCCCTGCTTGCCTAAGAGTATGATGAGGAGCACACAAGAGAAAGAGCCCCACATAGAAAGCAACGTAAATACGTATAAGATATAATTAATATCACTGGATGACACAGGCACGATTGGATGTACCTTCGGCTGGGCTTAGCCTGATACCCAAGGGTACTGGAACATAAATCATGATTCGCAAATTTGGCTTGTGAGTCAAAATATGAGCCAAGTGAAAACCTATCTCCTGAGAACTGATCTGTGTGTTTGGCTGTGCGCGCGGCTCTGGGAGTGGATAGGGCAGCTGGAGGCTGGAGGGGCTCTGGTTGATAAAGGGTCAGAATCCATAGGAGAGCCATGTGCAGGATGCTTAGGGAGAAGCCAGGTGGCAGTCATTCAGAACAGGCTAGTTGGACGAGGGTGCCCTGGGTGGGAAGGCTTTCTGAGCAGCTTTCAAGAGGGGACATATGAGGCCAAATGCTGCACAGGCTTTAGGAATGATCGCTGCTCCTGCCTCGGATAGCACAAGGAAATCGCTTGTGATTTCTGCAACTGTGCATCTCATCTGGAGAGCTGGTGCTGTCTGAGAGCTTCGAGTCGGCTCCTTCGGATAACCAGCTGAGAACTGACCATGGGTGATGCCCAGCTCGGGAACCTGCAGAGTTACTTCCTTCCCATGTTCAAGAAAATGGAGCTGGTCATTCATGCACTTCTTGTTAGACAGATTGCCAAGATAGGGTAACCTCCAACAACAGGGAGCTTACTCCCTGTCCCCAGGACACTCTGCCTATGTCTCTGGGCAGCTCCGACAGAGCTCTGAAATAGGATCCAGGTGCTGCACTGCCCAGCTACGGGACAGCTGAGATCCTTGTGCAAGACACAGCTGCTCACTTCACAGCTAGAGTCGGCAGGGAATATCTGTTCTCAAGATGAAGCATCCTTTGTCTTGTTTGTGCAAATTTGAGGCACAGGTACATGTTCACAGAGCGCATACACACGCTAGGTGTGCTGGAGGTCTGATATTTCTGCTTTTACTTCAGTCCAGAGTCCTATCTCTGAGAGTGCTGAAGGGTCCTAGAGAGGAAGAGGGGCTCCAGCTGCCTGCTTCCACCTTAGTCTGGTCCTCTTACTTCTATCTCCTTCATTTTTTCCTCCCATCATCACAGAAATAGGAACTGGAGCCCTCTCTGCCCTGTTGCTGGGGATGGAGAGGCATGGCATCTGTATCTCCTAGGATAGCCAAGGAAATACTATACTTGGGGTCTGAGACTGGACGAACCTCCTAAAGCCACATCACTGCCCTGGCTCCTTGGGCCAGAGCTAGAAGGACAGGGAGCTGGCGAGAGAAGAGCAGGACAGATTTTCTGAACTTCATTAAACCAAGACACTGTTGGAGTTAGTTTAACCCTTATGACTTTCGACCCTTATGATCCAGTCTCTGCATGGAATGAAGTATGGTCCAAACAGCCAAGAAAAAAAAAAAATCAATCTTTAACTGGCATCTCTCAAAATAATGAAAGAAGATTCAATGAACACCTCCCAGTAACACTTCTCGAATCTCTTTTTGCTTCTTTCTTAATTCTCTTGTACCCTGCACTGCCCTAAGGACTTGCATCCTCAAACTTGCCACAAAAAACATGCTTTCCAGTTTCACTGTTACAGCATTTCCCCCCTCCTTTTCCCAAATCTTTTCCTCTCTAATCTCCAACTGTTTGATTATGTAGCTCAGTTTAGCCATCCAAGCCCAGCAACCGCTGCAGCTTTGTTGTCTGCCCATTCCTGGAATCTGCATCGCAGACTCTTCGTGATCAGAGAAGAGTTTCTGCCTGGGAGGGGAGCATGGGGGTGTGGGGATGGGAAGGGAAGAAGGCATGTGAGTACAGCCAGCACCCACTCTCCATCTGGCATTTCCATCTGCTGTGCACGGGGGTGTGGGTGTCGGTAGAGTGAGGAGGGGTAGTGGGAGGGCATATGGACACACGAATCGTGTTGACCTTGGAATGCATCATTCCATCTACTGCAGGTCAGTCACACCAGCTTCCCTCCCCAGGTAACAAAGACCGTTAACACCCACACCTCCTGCCTCTCTGATGCTTTCTCTTGGGGGCTCGTCTCTCCCTGATCCCTGCACTTCAGGAACCACTCACCCAGTTGTAGAGCCAGTCAGGATCCAGGTCTCCTCTGGGTCAGGGAACATCAATCAGGATTTGGTCAGGGAGGAGATGGTTCAGCCAAAGGAAGGCTGTCTAGGGCCCAGAACGGGTCCTGGGTTGGGGATCAGAAGAGTTGGTTTTCCATTTGTCTCAATAACTTAGTTTTCATTCTGACCCTCATTCTAGTAGGAGGGCTAAAGCTTAATCTCAAGTCAAATTGGGTGCCTCTTGCAGTCTCCCTGGGGTTGCGCCCGTGTTCTTCAGGGCGCAGGGAGAGGGAGGGAAGTCTCTCGTTTGTAAAGTCACCTGTTAGCTGGTGCATCTGGGGTGCCCTCTGCTTCATTCATGCCCCGTTTGGATGATGGAGATCACAGAGCTTCTGGGGTGTCAACCTCTCTGCTAGGGCGCAGGTCCCCTCTGCTCTTTTATTTTATTTTTTGAGGAGGAGTCTTACAGGTACATTTGTTCATGCCTGAGGGCTGTGACATTGCCACAAGTCACCACAATGTCACATAACACAGTCAGACAGACATCCCGTCCAAGGAAAGCTGGTTAGTGATAACCGTGAGCAGGTGTATGACTGGAAGCTTCCAAGGCTTTACTTCTTTTATCAGCACTCCTGATTTTACAAACGATGAAGCCCACCAACCCCATTCCTACCCACATCTGGTAAACTTGGGTATAGTAGGGCTTCATGGGGATCCAAATGTTCTTAATAAGGCTTTGAAGTATCTTGGCACAGGACCAGCGGCTCAGGCAGAGCTAACTCAAAATGGGTCAGAAAGGTCACTCCCCTCTGCTCCCCCCACCTCCATCAGTGAATGAGGGGGCACAGAGCCCCTTTGCTCAGCACTCACTCATGTCTACCCCTCCTCCCTTCCCCTGTGGATTTTCTCGCCTATCCTCAAGCTGTCAATCTCTTTTGAAAGCTTACACATTTTTACCATCATTTATCTATACCTAAACCTTTCTATTCCCCCAAAGAGTCAGATTTTGAAACTCAGAAGCCACTCAGAACCTAGCTGCCTGAGTGTAGAAAAGATCCTAGGAGGGAAAGAAATACCAGGAGAAAACAAATGGTATTTCCAAGTAGTATCCTATTACATGTGTTATCTTATTTCCTATTCGTTTGCTACGACTCAGAAGTGTGGGAACTCCAGGGATGTTCTTTTGTTTAAATCTACTCAGATGCATTTAAAAATCTGAGTTTAAAATCTGAGTTCTAAATCTCCATTTTTGAGAGGTCAGAGATGCTTGTGGAATGGACCAACATTTCTTTACCAATAACCGTCTGATACTAGGCAAATAGGTCATCCATTATAATCTTCAATTCAGACTCTGGTGGCCAACACACATTTTGGCCTCCAGGCAGAATGTCCATGTTTCCTGGTGATTCGTGCCTTAGATAACATCCTATGGAATATGGGATTTGTCCAAGGACCAGAAGCAGAGGGAGATTTTAAGTAGGCTGGTAAAATTTAACTGCAGGTGGCTAATGTGGACTCCCTTGTTTCTGAAAAAATGGATTTAGAAACAATGGACAAGAGGGTCTAGACCCATGGATTTAGGCTTTGCAAATGTCATTTCTGCCTCTCCCACATCTGAATAATAAACAAGGCTGTGTTGAAGGCCATTGGGAATATGGTTGTAAAAGCCCCTTGGAGACTATCTAGGACTGCACAGTAGTAAAGAGGATGGCGTTAGATCCATCTGGAGATGAAAAAGAAGGCTGCAACTTCCCTGATAATTTTTCAGTGACGCTTTCCCAGAGGCTGTCCTTGATCCATTGTGCCAGGATCATACCAATGACTTAAGAAAATGCTCTTGAGCTAAAAGATACATGTATTTGTTCTCTGGAGTGAATGGTCCTTTCCTAAGACTCACACTAACCCTGTCAGTGACTCTCCTAACATCAGAGCTTTCTCTCCTCACCATCCTCATCTTCACTAGTACAAGCTGTCGGATCTCTGCTGGGTGCATGGCACTGTTTAGCGCTGGGGCTGGGTAACAAGGACGTGGGAACCCACTCCAGAACTCTCGCTTGGGAAATCCCACGGACAGAGGAACCTGGCGGGCCACAGTCCATGGGGTTGCAAAAAGAGTTGGACACGACTCAGCGACTAAACAACAACAGCAAAACCGGGGAACCCAGTATCCCAAGTAACATGGCGTTTTCTCACAATGGTTGGTACCTTCCAGCGAAGCAGCAAGGTTCCCCTTTCTCCCAGTGCCTAGACAAGATGCCAAGGCCTGGGTCCATAGATTTGGGAGGGGGATCATGGCCAGCACGTCTTCTGAACATAACGAGCCATGACAGATGCAGTCTTGACTTCTGTATTTCTCCTCACTGATGTACCTCTTTCTTGGAGCTCTCTACTCACCTATCCACCATAATGTGGGTCCTCATTTAGCAGAGTATAGGAGGCCACTGGTTATGGAAGGCAGACACTCTCAAGCGTGTGGCCATTGCTCATTTTGCCCCCATGGCCGGCTTCACCGATTCATCTGAGCTCTTTCTGGCTTGGCCTGGGCAACGCTTTAGCATCCTCAACAGCATACCAGTCCTGTGCGGGCACAGGAGATAGCCCCCACCTGCCAGTCCTGGGAAGAGAGTTTTGATGGGTCCTTCTGCCCAGACAGTGGAGAAGACCAAGGAGGGCCGGGGAGGAGAAGAGAAGGCGGAGAGAGGAGGGAAGCGGGAGGGACCAGAAGTCAGGTGGCCAGAGGCTGGAAGGAGGCTGTGGGTGAGGCTGGCTGGAGAGCAGTCTGGAGTTGACAGATCCATCTTGCACTGTGCTATCTTTCTCTCCTTCCCCTCCCTTATCTCCTCCTCCCCTCTCTCACCACCTCGTCCTCCCCTTCTCTCCTCTCCTCGTGAGCAGGCAGAGCCCGCCAGCGCCCCCCACTGTGCCCACTCTCGCTGTTCTCCTCCACTCTCTCTCCCCATGAAGGAAGAGACCACTGGAGTTTGCATGCACCCTCCAATCAAAACGAGGCTGGTAGGTACCCTGGCAGGGAGAGGTGAGGCGGGCAGGACCACCAGGCGGCAGCCCCAGGGGTGTGCTCGAGCACCGGAGCCCGGAGGAGCCCGGGCTGCAGGGGCTGTCCCTCCAGGATGGATGCAGAGTTTGGAGTCCAACCAGCCCTGGTCAAACTGGGACTCATGACTGTGGTCCCACCCCCTTCTCTGTAGGTCTCAAGAACTGTGAAGAGTTTGTTTTCTTAGAGCCATGATGTGCATAGATGCTTTCCGCAGAGAGAACACTCTTAGTTGCATTTCTGTTGCAAACAAAAGCTTTTAACTTGTCTTTTCCTGCTGTTTATCAAGATGACAATATGAGAATTACATAATGACTTGAAAGGAATCTCCTGCAATCCCAACCTGGCACAACTTTTTTTTTTCATTTTTGCATGTTTCCTTCTAATATTTATTTATATTCATTCACAGTTTTACATAGTTAAATCATAGCATCCATGTCACCTACTGTTTTCTTCTTTTCGCTTAACATTGTATTGCTTCTAGCTTGTTCTGGGTACCACGTTCTATGTATTCCATCAAGTGAATGGTCCACCATCTTCCTAACAAACTCTTTCCTGCAGGACGTGTGCTTTGTTTCCAGGTTGTCACTGTTCCAGGGAACACATATAGCTTGTGCAACAGGGATTTGATTTTTTCAGGCTGGACCCTGCTGGGTTCAGTATTGCAGCTGTGGCTTTGCCCCCGTTCTAACGTGGTGGTTCCAATGACAGCACCCTCAGGAGGGTGTATGTGCTCTGTCAGAGCTCGGCAACCCAGAGGGTAACTGTTGGAATACTTTTTTCTTCTTTAGAGCAGGTATAAAATAACTCTTTGACGTTGCCAACTCTCACATTTCTTTAATAGCAATAATAATCCTCTTCTTCCCTTTTATTTCATGATGGTCTGAGCCTATTCTGTATTTTGCTTTCACACTGCTGTTGGTCTCAGCATATCGTGTTGAACCATTAAGCCCTGCAAGGAGTAAGGCTTCCGCTAGTCCTTAACCTGCTGTATAGCAAGCAGGTGGTCACTGCCAGGAACCCGAACTGGCACCTGGGTCCATGGGAATTTTGAGATGTTTAAAGAGACTTTTAAAAGAGAGTTTGGGGATGGGGCGAGCAGGCTTGGATTAGACATCTCAGTGCCCACTCCAAGGACATTGTCATTTCTAGATGGGTTGAGTTGAGACCTACTCAACTCCCTCAGAATCCCTCAGCAGATTTGGGTCTGATCTGATGTGTTCCTGTGCATGCCTATCTTACCCCCCATTAGAATGACTCAAAGCCATCAAGTAACTACTGTCCGTAGGCAAGACCTGAAAGACACTAAAGCGACTGCACGTGGGAAGTGGTGGCCTTGACGGCTTGGCTGCAGCCCTCTGGTGGAAGTCGCGGTTTCTGCACCCCGAGGCTGCAGACAAAGCTAGTGCCAGTCATCAGGACCCTGGGCCTGCTGGCAGTCTTCTAGGCCAGCTTAAAGAAATATAACCCCTCCCCGCCCCCTCTCCTCCAAAGGCGTCTAGGAGGCCAGAGATTAAATGACCCAAGAGAAAGAAAAGGAAGCAAAGGCTCTTGATGGCCAGTTGGTACTACCTGATCCTTCAGGTTGTCCACCCTCTCCAGATGCCAGCACAGGGCACTTGTAATCACCATGCCTTCTGGCCCCAAGGCCATGGTGGTAGGATTCTTCCAGGCTTACCCGGGTTCCCCTGAGGTTTCCCTCTATTGCCCAGAGTTTACAGGGAGCCCAACAACTAACATGAACGGACAGGGAGGTACTCTGTCCACTCTGATAGACTCTGTTGCCTATCAGTGGCCTCTAGTCCATTCCCCACAGCCACAGAGGGGCCATCAGCTGGCCCCCACGTAACCCTCGCCTGCCTCACTATACCCCCTGGCTGTGGTCAGCGTGAGGTAGTGTAGGTGTCCTGCAAACACAACACTCCAGCCTGTCTTCCTTGCAGAGGCCTGGCCCTATCACACAACTCCAGGCTCAGATACAACCGCTAGGCAACACCCATAGGGACCCTTGGTTTATTTCCTCGGCAAACAAGGAAGGCTCGGTGTGCGTTCTCCTGTATCCTTCAGTTCAGTTTAAGTGTGCTGCCGAAGATTTCAAAGTTTTGTTTTCTAATCTGAAAGTAACACTCTTCTCTGTCTCTTTTTTGAAGATAAAAACATTCCCAGCTGATCCAGTGACCCCTTTTCCTGATCCTTTCATAACAGGGCCACAGTTTACCGTAAGTAGATCCGGAAAACAGACCTGTGTTTTAAGACATAGTTCCTGTGGATTGCCAGCCGACAATGCCAACAGCTAGTGTGTATTTATTTATTTTTGGCTGCATTGTTTCTTAGTTGCGACATGCAGTGTTTTTTGTTTGTTTGTTTGTTTGTTTTGTTGTTTAGCACATGGGCTTCTCTCTAGTTGTGATGCATGGGTTTAGTTGCCCCAAGGCATATGGGATCTTAGTTCCTGGACCAGGGATGAAACCTGCATCCCCTGCATTGGAAGGTGGGTTTTTAAGCACTGGACCACCAGGGAAGCCCCACCAACAGCTTCTTCTGATCGCTGTGAACTCTGTGAAGCTGAGAAGGAGTTGGAGTTTGGGGGTCAGCATTTTCTAGTTATTTTATCTTATTGAGGTGAGCTTCATGTAACATAAAATTAACCATTTTTGAAGTGACAATTTAGTGGCATTTAGTACATTCAGTGTCATGCAACTACCACTTCTCATTCTAAAACCTTCTCATCACCCCCAAAGGAAATCTCATACCCAGTAAGTAGTCATCCCCATTTTCCCCTTCACTCTGGCCCTTGTTAGCCACCAGCTTGCATTTTGTCTCTTTGGATTTGCTTAGTTTGGATATTCCATAAAAATGGAATCATGCACTACATGACCTATGTCTGGTTTCTGTCACTTGGCATCATGTTTGTAAGGTTTATGTAAGGTTTGTAATTTTAAGGATGTATCAGTATTTTATTTCTTCTTATGGAGGAATAATATTCCATTGCACTTACATACCACAGTTTGCTGACCCATCCATTCATGGCTGGGTTTTGGGTTCTCCCCACTTTTTGGCTACTGTGAATAATACTGCTATGAACATGCATGTGCATGCATTTATCAGACTCTGTTTTCAGTGCTTTGGGGTTGGATCTGCATCTTGATAATGGTATGATTTATGATTTTAAGTTAAGATTTTGCCACTCTGAGCACCAGTCTCCTTTTATTTAAAGTGGAAATAGCAATAAGAACATCCTCCTCCTCGTATCTGGTTGAGGCAAGGGTCAAAAGGGATCAAGAACTTGAAAGCACTCGACCGTGCACAGACCATCCCACGAATGTCAAGTACAATGGTTGTTCCTCAATGTTGGAGAGGCAGGGTGGTGTAAACACAGGAGCAGGTCGTCATAGCAACCGGCTTTCCTGTTGCCATGGCTCTCTGTGTCGCTGAGCAGCTTATTTAAACTCTCTGCAAACTGCCGAAATGTTTTTAAACATTTAAATGTTGTAGTTTCCTCATCTGCAAAGTGAGAGAGTTCGATGATTTTCAGGATTCTTTTCAGCGCCTCGACTTTTTTCCTTAATTAAGAGCTTGTGCAGAAGCTCACTCTCTGATGAGCAGAAGTGGGGAGTTGAGGCTCCCTCCTGTCTCTCCTGAGGCTTCCCTGGTACCTCAGTGGTAAAGAATCTGCCTGCCAATGCAGGAGAGGCAGGTTCAATCCCCTGGGTTGGGAAGATTCCCTGGAGTAGGAAATGGCAACCCCCTCCAGTATTCTTGCCTGGAAAATCCCATGGACAGAGGATCCTGGGGGTTACACTCCATGGAGTTGCAAAGAGTTGGGCATGACTGAGCGCCCATGCATGCCTCTTTCCTCTCCCTCCCTCCTCCTCCCAGGGATCAGAGTTTGCAATTCCTAGAACCAAGTGGTCCCTGAGGTTTCTTCCAAAGGTCAGTCTAGAGGATCTTCCAGGTGGGCTCTGGTGCCCTCGGGGTAGTTTGAAGTGCAGTGTCAGGGGCTGGCTGATGGTCACTACCTGAGGTAGCTTCAGCCATATGAACAGGAGGGCGTGAGCAGTGGCTGATTCAGGTCTAAGGATGAACAGACCTGGGCAGCTGTTCAGCAAGCAGTCCATGCAGAGACAAAAGCAGGTTTCTAGAGCAATCCATGGGGCTTCCCAGGTGGCGCTACTGGTAAAGAACCAGCTTGCAAATGGAGGAGACATAAGAGATGTGAGTTCTCTCCCTGGCTCAGGAAGAGCCCCTGGAGAAGGGCATGGCAACCCACTTTTCAGTGTTCTTGCTGGAGAATCCCATGGATGGAGGAGCCTGGTGAGCTACAGTCCATGAGGTCACACAGAGTTGGATACAACTGCAGCGACTTAGCATGCACACATGCCGAACAATCTGTACCAGGGTCATGATCAGCTTCCAGCACCTGCCTTTTAAGGAACAGAGGGCAGAGACACGGGCTGGGCCAGGCATTCAGTGCTGCTGCCGGATATTCGTCTGGCCCCTGCCGTTTGGCTGCGCACAGCTTCCCCAGCTGGAAGCTCCGGCTCCACTTCCTCCACTGGCCATAGCGGGCACTCTGGCCTGCTGCCCAGCCTTGGCAGTGCTGTGAGACACCCAGGGAAGCCCTTCCTGAAAAGCCGGGGGCTGAGATGGAGCAGGAAGCCAATGTCAGAAACCATGCTGGGACTTTGAAGAACCGGGCAAGAGTGGCTTGAAGGCAGCTGGTGCAGGGAGAAGGAGCGGCATGAGCCAGAGTCCTGGGGCAGAGAGGTCATCCCACCTCCAGGGGACTGACTGAGGCCAGGAGGCCTAGAAGGCAGAGAGCAAGGGTGTGCGGCGTGAGAGGAAGGCAGGGAAAGCAGGGACAAACCGTGCAGGGCACAGCCGTCTTGGCTGATCTCAGATGGGAAGTCCTTCAGTGAGAAGCCTTTGAAGGACTCTGAGCGGGGCAGTGACAGGGCAGCTGCATTTGGCGATGATCCCTGTGATGGCAGTGAGAGGAGCTGGGTTCAGGCAGTGTGGACTCTGGGCAGTCGTCTAGAAACCTCCAACAGCAGTTCAAGGGAAAGAAGGCAGAGAGCTTGACCCAGAGTGGTACTGACGGTGGAGGTGGATAGATGTGCACAGATCGGGGACATATTTAAGAAGTTGGTGAGGAATTAGTTTGGATGAGGGAGAGAAATGGCCAGAAATGGCTTTCAGATTTCTGCCTTGCAGAATGTGGATGGAGAGTGGGTGCATTCACTGAGACAAGGAAATCTTAGGGAACCAGGAGGGATAATGAATTTGCCTCTTGCCATGGTGTGTTAGAAATGCCTCAGAAATGCCTGGATGGAAACAGTGAATGGGCAGTTGGATTAGTTTAGTTCAGTTACTCAGTTGTGTCCGTCTCTGCAACTGCATGGACTGTAGCACACTAGGCTTCCCTGTCCATCACCAGCTCCTGGAGCTTACTCAAACTCATGTCCATCGAGTCGGTGATGCCATCCATCTCGCTCATCCTCTGTCATCCCCCTCCCTTCCTGCCTTCAATATTTTCCAGCATTAGGGTCTTTTCTAATGAGTCAGTTCTTCCCATCAGGTGGCCAAAGTATTGGAGGTTCAGCTTTAGCATAAGTCCTTCCAATGAATATTCAGGATTGATTTCCTTTAGTATTGACTGGTTTGATCTCCTTGCTGTCCAAAGGTCTCTCAAGAGTCTTCTCCAACACTACAGTTCAAAAGCATCAATTCTTTGGTGCTCAGCTTTCTTTGTGGTTCAACTCTCAAATCCATACATGACTACTGGAAAAACCATAGCTTTGACTAGATGAACCTTTGTTGGCAAAGTAATATCTCTGCTTTTTAATATGCTATCTAAGTTTGTCATATCTTTTCTTCCAAGGAGCAAACATCTTTTAATTTCATGACTGCAGTCACCATCTGCAGTGACTTTGGAGCCCAAGAAAATAAAGTCTGTCACTGTTTCCACTGTTTCCCCATCTATTTGTCATGAAGTGATGGGACTGGATGCCATAATCTTCATTTTTTGAATGTTTAGTTTTAAGCCAGGTTTTTCACTCTCTTCTTTCACTTTCATTAAGAGGTTCTTTGGTTCCTCTTCACTTTCTGCCATAAGGGTGGTGTCATCTGCATATCTGAGGTTATTGATATTTTTTCTGGCAATCTTGATTCCAGCTTGTGCTTCATCCAGCCCGGTATTTCACATGATGCACTCTGCATATAACTTAAATAAGCAGGGTGACAGTATACAGCCTTGACACACTCCTTTCCCAATTTGGAACCAGTCCATTGTTCCATGTTCAGTTCTAACTGTTGCTTCTTGACCTGCATACAGATTTCTCAGGAGGCAGGTAAGGTGGTCTGGTATTCCCATCTCTTGAAGAATTTTCTACAGTTTGTTGTGATCCACACAAAGACTTAAGCATAGTCAATGAAGCAGAAGTAGATGTTTTTCTGGAATTTTCTCGCTTTTCTATGATCCAACGGATGTTGGCAATTTGATCTCTGGTTCCTCTGCCTTTTCTAAAACCAGCTTGAACATCTGGAAGTTCTTGGTTCACATACTGTTGAAGCCTAACTTGGAGAATTTTGAGCATTACTTTGCTAGTGTATGAGATGAGTGCAATTGTGTGGTAGTTTGAGCATTCGTTTGCATTGCCTTTCTTTGGGATTAGAATGAAAACTGACGTTTTCTAGTCCTGTGGCCACTGATGAGTTTTCCAAATTTTCTGGTGTATTGAGTGCAGCACTTTCACAGCATCATCTTTCAAGATTTGAAATAGCTCAACTGAAATTCCATCACCTCCACTAGTTTTGTTCATAGTCATGCTTCCTAAGGCCCACTTGACTTTGCAGTCCATGATGTCTGGCTCTAGGTGAGTGATCACACCATCATGGTTATCTGGGTCATGAAGATCTTTTTTGTATAGTTCTTCTGTGTATTCTTGCCACCTCTTCTTAATAGCTTCTGCTTCTGTTAGGTCCATACCATTTCTGTCCTTAATTGTGCCCATCTTTGCATGAAATGTTCCCTTGGTATCTTTAATTTTCTTGACGAGATCTCTAGTCTTTCCCATTCTATTGTTTTCCTCTATTTCTTTGCAGTGATCACTGAGGAAGGCTTTCTTACCTTTCCTTGCTATTCTTTGGAACTCTGCATTCAGATGCTTATATCTGTCCTTTTCTCCTTTGCCTTTTTCTTTTGCCTTTCACTTTTTGGCAATTGGATATCCAAGTCTGTATCAGGAGAGAGGACTAAACTGGAGATTATAATTAGCAAGTTATTAATACCAACAGCTGGATGGTAATGGAAGCCAAGTTCATAAGCTTCGGCTTCCTAATTTTCTTCCTCCTGTGCATCATATTCTCTTTTCTTCCCTACCGAGGTCAAGATACTTGAGCTTGCTGTAGAGTTGGCCTTTCCAGAGTCTTCCTGACCTATCCCGTCCACAGTCAAGGGGGAGTTCAGCAGCTCCAGGGAACTCCATACAGTTATTCTGGTAGTTGATCCGGCATTGACCTTGAGCCTGAATTCAACAGCCATACTCCTTGGTTGGTTCTGAAGCCAGTTCCTACCTTGTATTTGAGCCTGTTGACTCTACCTGATAGTCAGACAAGGGCCTCAGTCTGTCTGAGATGAGGACCTCTGCCTGACTCTGGTCGGATTTCTGTCCCATGTTCTTCTTCCTAACCTGGCCTGTCCCTATGTTACCTGCTTTGTTCCAGCAAATGTTGGTTCATTCATTTCTTCATTCAGCAAATATTAAGAAGACGACTACTCAGGGTGAGATTTAATAATAGTAATTTTCACTGCTCCCTAAGGGCACTCTTGGGCTTCTCAGGTGGTGCTAGTGGTAAAGAACCCACCTGTCAATGCAGAAGACTTAAGAGAACATGGATTCAATCCCTGGGTTAGGAAGATCCCCTGGAGTAGGAAATGGCAACCCACTCCAGGATTCTTGCTTGGAGAATCCCACGGACAGAGGAGCCTGATAGGTTACAGTCCATAGGGTCGCAAAGAGTTGGACATGACTGAAGTGACAGAACACAAGGTCATTCTTAAATGAAGTTGGCTCTTTTTTTTCCTATTTTGAGTGCATGGCAGTGAGGAATATAATGACTGTTAGTAAAGTTTGATGCCACTGCCTTGATTCATGCTAAGGCCCTGGTACCTTCCCCACAATTGCCTTTGTATGTAAGTACATTTCCCTCTTTTTCCAGAAAGAGTCAAAACTGGCATCAAAAGCCCAACCTACACCCACTTTATTGAAGCAACAAAATAACATCTTACCCCAGCTCCTGTATCAGGAAGGCTGGACTCAGCCATGCTTTAAAATGACAAATTGAATTTCCTATTCGTGCTCCATGACTGCCATGGGTGGGCTATGCCTTCTGCCCTGTGTTGCTTTGTTTCTGGGACCCTGTCTAATGGAGCAGCTGCCATCTAGAACACTGCTGGTCACAGAGGTTGCGGGGGCGGGGAAAGAAGTGACAAATCACACACCAGCACTTAACTCTTCCAATGGAAATAAAACATGGTGGCTCATTTCCATGGCTAAAGTGAGGCACTGGCCATGCCTAACTTCAAAGTGGGGGTGAGGGGGACTTTCCTGGGGGTCCAGTGGCTAAGACTCTGTGTTTCCGCTGCAAGGGTCACAGGTTTGATCTCTTGCTAGAGAACTAAAATCCCGCATGCCAGGAAGCACAGCCAATAAATAAATAAAAATTCATAAAAAAATTTTTTACAGTAGGCTGGGGAAGTGAAATCCTACCATGTACCTGGAAAGAAATGAGACAGCATTATCTAAGGAACCACATGAGTGACCACTACATCCCAGTGTTTATGAAAGCCCCCTGTGGGAAACATCACATGCCAGCAACTCTGTGACGCTCTGTTCTCGTGATCAGTTCTCTGGCATTGCTCCAGCCCAGGCCAGCTCAGTTCTGTGTCTGGAGGCAGTTGTAAAACAAACAGGGGCTTATATTTTTCAGCAGTAGTCTTTCCGGAGTCTCAAAGCTAAAGATTCTCCCCATTTAGAATCTTGGTTCTAAGGTGACTCAGATGGTAAAGCGTCTGCCCGCAATGCGGGAGACCCAGGTCCGATCTGTGGGTCAGGAAGATCCCCTGGAAAAGGAAATGGCAACCCACTCCAGTATTCTTGCCTGGGAAATCCCATGGACAGAGAAGCCTGGTGGGCTACGGTCCGTGGGGCCATAAAGAGTCGAACATGACTGAGCAACTTCACTTTTTTTCACAGTGCTTACTGTGTGACCTTGGGAAGATTACTGAACGTCTCTGAGCCTCATTTTTCCTTTTCCATAAAAATCAGTTCCAAGATGTGCTATTTTCCACCTTCTAACATCTCTGTAATTAAAGTAGGTATTACAATAGTAGGCCTGACAGAGTTTGAATGATTACTTTTTCTCTGTGGCGTGTGCAAAAAATGGTGGATCTTATAAATGATGGTGTCTCACGTGATGAAACACGACCTTCGCCTTAAAGACTGTGAAGAGGTAATACATGTAAAGTGCTTAGCATAGTGGCTGGCACTAAATAAAATGGTTTAATAAATGGCTATCGATGAACTATTATTAAAAAAATAACAGGGACGGTGTGGTAAGGCTGAGGAAACAGCTGACAATGTGAAAATGAAACCCCAATTGAGGCTGACTTCCCCTTTTCTGTCTCCCCTCCAGGCAGACTTTAGAGACAGTAAATTACAGTGCTGTCCTGGCCAGTCTTCCCCGCTGATCCCAGCGGCGACCCTGAGGCCCTTGACAGAGGCCATGTCCACAGTGCAGACCGTCTATACCATTCGGAAGCCTGTTTCTCCGGCGACAAGGTGTGTCCGATCAGCAGGTGCCAACAGGTAACTCTGGTGACAGGGAAGCCAGGCGCAGGCTCATTGTGTCTGTCACACCTGCAACAATGTTTGTGACACTCTCATTCATTCTTTTCTTCATGCATTCTCGAAGTATATACTGAAAGGCCATCAAAGGCTAGATAGTATTATTCTAGGTGCTAAGGATGTAGAGTGGGCAAAACCAAACCCCCCCCAACCACAAACTAGCCCTCCGAATTGTTTCCCATGCTTTCTCGATGCATATGCACACTTTTTTTCATCAGTATGATCAGTTTGAACATAATCTTTGATTACTTCCTCCATCTAACACATATCTTCTCTTTTCAACACTGATCCTGCTTTCACCACTTACAGTTTCTTTGTATTCATGTAGTGTGGTTCACCTCACTTGTTGCCATCACTAGATATTTGAGTTATATCCTATTTCAGATTAAGCTGAAGATCCCCTGGAGAAGTGAATGGCTACCCACTCCAGTATTCTCGCCTGGAGAACTCCATGGACAGAGGAGCCTGGCGGGCTGTAGTCCATGGATGGCAAAGAGTTGGACACAACTGAGCGACCAACACTTTGACTTTCACATTGCTGAGAGGGCGCCATGTGCGAGGTCCTATGTTCAGCTCTGGGGGTTCAGAGAGGAACGGTGTATCTAACAGGCAGTCCTCGGAGGAGCGGTACCTTCAGAAGCTCACTGTCTGGTGGGGGAGATCCATAGGCAGCCAATCTCGGGTCATTGTGGGGCCAGCAAATGTAGGGGCTCCTTGAGGAGCCTGAAAGAGCCAGTCAAGAGCTGAGCTTGGGAACCGGCATTTCAACTGATAACTGCTCTTACCATTTTTGCGCGTGCATCTCACCGTTTTGTCACCTCCTCTTTCTTAGTGCAGAGACCCTCCGGCAGGAACTGGAGAGAGAGAAAATGATGAAAAGACTGCTGATGACCGAACTGTGAAACTCTGCCCGGTTGCCTGGAGGATGGCATGGTGCCTTCTGGACGTTTCCTTTCTCCGGGCTTCGCGTGCTCGCGGTAGCGCAGCCTACAAACGTGCGCTCTGTTCGCCCAGGTCTCCATGGTCAAAGCCAACCTCTGGCTTGACTTTTATTGGAAGAGTTATTTACTGTCTCCTGAGTATTAGAGGTTTTCCTACTACTCAATGTAGTTGAGACAAAATTTGGTAAGCCTAGGAGAAGAAAGATGGGAAAACCGGGATTCCTTCTCAGAAGCACCTGTGTGTACATATGAATAACCACAGGGGTTAATATGGCATGGATTCCTTTGTTCTCAGTCTCAACCATGTGATTTTGTATGACTGACACTTGCACCAAGCTTTGACTGTTTGTTAAAGAGTCATTTTTAATGAGAGAATAATTCTTTACTGCTGGTTTTTCATTTACACTGGTAAATGCACAGATCTTATAAAGTCTTTAACATTCATTTTTATTCAGACACGAGTAGGTGAACTAAAAAAGGAAAGTTGCAATCACCAGGACTGAAGTTATTTCAGCTTAATCTGAAATATAATTTAACTTGTGAATTTGAGGGTCATGATATTATTGGGGATACACAGACTTTATTATTGAACCCAAAGTAAAAGCTTAAATTGTCTGAAATAGTTGAAATTGTCTAAAAATCCTTACAAAAGGATTTGATAGCAGGATTCATTTGGGTGTTCCATGAAGGAAAATTATCTCTAAAGTTGATCAACTCATGTCCTGTTGATAGAAACTTGACCAGAAGAAACTTTGCTCTTTTTTATATAGTTTCAAGAAATGTGTTTTTAAATTTTTCTTATGCACTTGAACAACTTTGCAGGAATAAAAGAACCCCCTAACCACAAACTAACCCTCCAAATTGCTTCCCACCCTTTCTCAATGCATATGCACACATTTCTTCATCAGTATGATCATTGTGAACATAATATTTGATTACTTCCTCCATCTAACACATATCTTCTCTTTTCAACACTGATCCTGCTCTCACCACTTAACAATTTCTTTGTATTCATGTAATGTGGTTAACCTCACTTGTTGCCATTTCTAGATATTTGAGTTATATCCTATTTTTCATTCTCATAAATAGTGCTGCTATGAATGTCTTTGTTAAAAATAAAATGTTTCTTCCTTTGGATTCTTCCCTTGGGAGTATCTCCAAAGAGAGATTACAAGGTCGAAGAGCATGAAGTATTTTATAGCTCTTGTTTCATATTGTCAGACTGTTTTCTAGAAAGATCCAGTCTCCTGGTTGAAAGGACCTTAGAGGTCATCAAGTTCAACCTCCCATCCTCTCTAAATGCTTGAAACCCCTCTACGATTTTTGATGCCACCAGCAATGTATAAGCATTTCTATTACCAATAGTTCTGCCAGTATTGGGTTTTGCCATTTTAATTTATTTTTGCTAGTTTAATAAGTGCATATAGTTGTTCTTAAAAGGTTGTTTTATTTCATTAATTGCTAGCAAAGCTGAGCACTTTTCCATGTGATGACTTAGTAGCTGTATTTCCTTGTGTGTAAAATATCCATCCATTTCTTATGACCACTTAAGTGGGATTGATCTCATATATTTGTATCAGAATTGTATTTTTATGTTGTATTGTATACTTTGCTCTCCTCTCCCTCTCCTTAAATCTGAATGGTGCCAATAATTTGATACTAATGATATAAAAAAAAAAGCAATGCCTCATTGACTAGCATTGTTGTGAAATGAGGTAATGTACGCAAATATTCAGATAACAGAGGATTAACCCTTTTAAGTGATGAATCTTTACAATTTTAATATTTTTTGAGGGAAATCTTTCTAAAATATATTACGCACTTCCCTGCCTTAGTAAACAGAGTACATTGGAGAGTATTTAACCTTTTCTTGATGAGTCATCATCATGACAAACATCAGCCCCTTTGTACCTTGGTGTGGTGTCGTGATGTCATCCGGAGCCTGTCCAAACATGCAGGGCTCGGCTTGCCTTTCACAGACTAACGCTCTTCTCGTTGATGGTTTGCACTGCTGTCTGCTCTATTGGTGAAGCTGTCAGGGGCAACTGTGGTATCTGGGAACTTTTACCCGCTTCCATACAACCCGGCCCCTGGCTGTATTTAAACAGCTTTCGCCGTTCTTTATGTTGTGCACACGATACAAAATGTGTTCTGTACAATATGGAGGAAGTGTTTGTGCCTCGGGTTGTCACGTCCTGCCGATCCCTCCTCTTCTAACCTGCTTTCTGAGTCTTCTGCTCTTCACCTCCTGCTCTCTGATGGAAACCTCCAGGGCAAAACTGAAGTTTTCTTGAGGAAGCCAGGAAACGCAGTGTTACATGCGTGTCAGATTGGCTTTGCTTCTGAGGAGGGGGCGGTGCATGGGGTTTTTGGCCATTTTTCTCAGGAGGCTCTGAGCCTGCTGCTTCTTCCTACACGGCTCCCTGCGTCACAGATGTTTCGGAAGGTCGATGTCACTGGAAGTCTGATCACGAACAAGTTGGCTGTTACTGTATATGAAAACCCAGTACCTCTGGCAGCTCAACTCTAACCAGTAAAATCAAGAGGATTCCATCCTTTCAGCAGTTGTCCTGTTATTTGCCTATGTACATGTATGTTGGGTGCTTGGAGTTGGGACCTGAGAAGATGACATTGTATTGGGTGGGTTCATAGCGATAAAAATGAATTGGTATAGTCACTTCACCTTTTTAAAAAAAAATACTTAAACCCAAAATAACAGTACCGTACAATCCCACAACACATCATATGTCCAAGAAGAAAAATCAACTTGCTGACATGATCATTCCAGAGCAAGAGTTCCAAACTGTGGGCCACAGGCTCCTGGTGGACATGGGGAAACTGAAACTGTCAGTCAATCAGTCACGTCTGACTCTTTGTGACCCAATGGACTGTAGGCCTCCAAGGTTCACTCTGTCCATGGAAATCTCCAGGCAAGAATACTGGAGTGGGTAGGCATTCCCTTCTCCAGGGGATCTTCCTGACCCAGGGATCAAACCTGGGTCTCCTGCATTGCAGGCAGATTGTTTACTGTCTGACCCACCAGGGCAGCCCAGTGGACATGAGGGTGGGGAGTTAATGCAAGTGGTTTGGGAATCCTGCGACCCTGAGTTTCTGGATTGTAGACTGCATAGGAGATCCTTATGTTTGAAGAGTTTAAAAACTAGATCCTAGAGAATTGGGAAGATCCCACGTGAATTCACCCCAAAATTTATACCCCCAGAATAGCATAAGAATCTTCTGATGTCACTTTATCTTTCTTTCACCATCTCAAAGATCACAGCTTTTTAAAAACTTGAAATTCCCCATGTTAACCATTTTAAAGTATATTCAGTATTTTTTTTAGCATCTTCATAATAACATATCAATTTAGTTCAGTCGCTCAGTCATGTCTGACTCTTTGCGACCCCATGAACCACAGCACACCAGGCCTCCCTGTCCATCACCAACTCCCAGAGTTTACTCAAACCCATGTCCATTGAGTCGGTGATGCCATCCAACCATCTCATCCTCTGTCATCCCTTTCTCCACCTGCTCTCACTCTTTGCCAGCATCAGGGTCTTTTCAAATGAGTCATACCTTCGCATCAGGTGGCCAAAGTATTGGAGTTTCAGCTTCAACATCAGTCCTTCCAATGAACACCCAGGACTGATCTCCTTTAGGATGGACTGGTCGGATCTCCTTGCAGTCCAAGGGACTCTCAAGAGTCTTCTCCAAAACCACAGTTCAGAAGCATTGATTCTTCAGTGCTCAGCTTTCTTTATAGTCCAACTCTCACATCCATACATGACTACTGGAAAAACCATAGCCTTGCCTAGATGGACCTTTGTTGACAAAGTAATGTCTCTGCTTTTTAATATGCTGTCTAGGTTGGTCATAACTTTCCTTCCAAGGATTAAGCGTCTTTTAATTTCATGGCTGCAATCACCATCTGCAGTGATTTTGGAGCCCTCAGGAATAAAGTCAGCCACTGTTTCCACTGTTTCCCCATCTATTTGCCATGAAGTGATGGGACCAGATGCCATGATCTTAGTTTTATGAATGTTGAGTTTTAAGCCAAGTTTTTAACTCTCTTCTTTTACTTTCATCAAGAGGCTCTTTAGTTTTTCTTCACTTTCTGCCATAAGTGTGGTGTCATCTGCATATCTGAGATTATTGATATTTCTCCCAGCAATCTTGATTCCAGCTTGTGCTTCTTCTGGCCCAGCATTTTTCATGATGTACTCTGCATATAAGTTAAATAAGCAGAGTGACAATATACAGCCTTGATAGACTCCTTTTCCTATTTGGAACCAGTCTGTTGTTTCATGTCCAGTTCTAACTTGCTTCCTGACCTGCATACAGATTTCTCAAGAGGCAGGTCAGGTGGTCTGGGATTCCCATCTCTTTCTGAATTTTCCACAGTTTATTGTGATCCACACAGTCAAAGGCTTTGGCATAGTCAATAAAGCAGAAATAGATGTTTTTCTGGAACTCTCTTGCTTTTTTGATGATCCAGTGGATGTTGGCAATTTGATCTCTTGTTCCTCTGCCTTTTCTAAAACCAGCTTGAACATCTGGAAGTTCACGGTTCACGTATTGCTGAAGCCTGGCTTGGAGAATTTTGAGCATTACTCTACTAGTGTGTGAGATGAGTGCAATTGTGCGGTAGTTTGAACATTCTTTGGCATTGCCTTTCTTTGGGATTGGAATGAAAATTGATCTTTTCCAGTCCTTGGTCACTGCTGAGTTTTCCAAATTTGCTGGCATATTAAGTGCAGCACTTTCACAGCATCATCTTTCAGGATTTGAAATAGCTCAACTGGAATTCCATCACCTCCACCAGCTTTGTTCGTAGTGATGCTTCTTAAGGCCCACTTGCCTTCACATTCCAGGATATCTGGCTCTGGGTGAGTGATCACACCATCATGATTATCTGGGTCATGAAGATCTTTTTTGTATAGTTCTTCTGTGAATTACTGCCACCTCTTCGCTTCTGCTTCTATTAGGTCCATACCATTTCTGTCCTTTATTGAGCCCATCTTTGCATGAAATGTTCCATTGGTATCTCTAATTTTCTTGAGGAGATCTCTAGTCTTTCCCATTCTACTGTTTTCCTCTATTTTTTTGCATTGATTGCCGAGGAAGGCTTTCTTAGCTCTCCTTTCTATTCTTTGGAACTCTGCATTCAAATGGGTATATCTTTCCTTTTCTCCTTTGCTTTTCACTTATCTTCTTTTCAAAACTATTTGTAAAGCCTCCTCAGACAGCCATTTTGCTTTTTAGCATTTCTTTTTCTTGGGGATGGTCTTGATCCCCGTCTCCTGTACAATGTCATGGACCTGCGTCCATAGTTCATCAGGCAGTCTGTCTATCAGATCTAGTCCCTTAAGTATATTTCTCACTTCCACTGTATAAGTGTAAGGGATTTGATTTAGGTCATACCTGAATGGTCTAGTAGTTTCCCCTACTTTCTTCAATTTAAGTCTGAATTTGGCAATAAGGAGTTAATGATCTGAGCCACAGTCAGCTCCCAGTCTTGTTTTTGCTGACTGTATAGAGCTTCTCCATCTTTGGCTACAAAGAATATAATCCATCTGATTTCGGTGCTGACCGTCTGGTGATGTCCATGTGTAGAGTCTTCTCTTGTGTTGTTGGAAGAGGGTATTTGCTATGACCAGTGTGTTCTCTTGGCAAAACTCTGTTAGCCTTTGCCCTGCTTCATTCTGTACTCTAAGGCCAAATTTGCCTGTTACTCCAGGTGTTTCTTGACTTCCTGCTTTTGCATTCCAGTCCCCTATAATGAAAAGGACATCTTTTGGGGGTGTTAGTTCTAAAAGGTCTGGTAGGTCTTCATAGAACCATTCAACTTCAGCTTCTTCAGCATTACTGGTCAGGGCATAGACTTGGATTACCATGATATTGAATGGTTTGCCCTGGAAACGAACAGAGGTCATTCTGTCATTTTTGAGAGTGCATCCACATACTGCATTTCAGGCTCTTTTGTTGACTATCATGGCTACTCCATTTCTTCTAAGGGATTCCTGCCCACAGCAGTAGATATAATTGTCATCTGAGTTAAATTCACCCATTCCAGTCCATTTTAGTTTGCTGATTCCTAGAATGTCGACATTTACTCTTGCCATCTCCTGTTTGATCACTTCCAATTTGCCTTGATTCATGGACCTAACATTCCAGGTTCCTATGCAATATTGCTCTTTACAGCATTGGACCTTGCTTCCATCACCAGTCACATCCACAACTGGGTGTTTGTTTTGCTTTGGCTCCATCCCTTCATTCTTTCTGGAGTTATTGCTCCACTGATCTCCAGTAGCATATTGGGCACCTACTGACCTGGGGAGTTCATCTTTCATAAACACAACTAATTCCAGAACATTTCCATGATTCCAAAAAGAAGCTCCATATCTGTAGTCACTATCAATTCTTCCCCCACCCATTTGCTAACAATCATTAATTTACCTTCTGTCTTCAGATTTCTATCTATGGATTTGCCTATTCTGGACATTTCATAAAAAATGGAATCACATAGTATGTGGTTCTTTGTGATTGGCTTTTTTCACTTAACATAGTGTTTTCAAGGTTCATCCATGTAATAGCATGTATCATTACTTCATTTCTTTTTAATGGCTATATAATATTCCATTGTATGGATATGCCACATTTTATTTATCCATTCATCAGCTGATAGACATTTGACTTGCTTTCACTCTTTGGCTATTATGAATAATATGAACATTTGTGCCCCACTCTTCAAACTCTTGGGTATATAACTGAGATTGGAATAGCTGGGTCACACAACAACTCTATGTTGAACTTTCTGAGGAATTTCCAAATTCACAGCTTTTATATCATAAACAATCAAAAGTGAAAAAAATCACACATATTACTAGACAGACAGAAGCATGGGGAAATCTGTTGTAACTTGTCAGGTACAGAGATGCAGATACTAGATTTTTGGGAGGAGGAGGGTTGTGAAATTTATAACAGAAAAAAAAAGTTGTTTTAGAGAAATGGCTTTGGTGAGAAGAGAAAATAAGGGAGCTTTTTCTGAAAAAATGAAAATGAAAAATTAAACTCAGATTCATCTCCATGTTCCTGTTTGAATAGCCAACTCTTGTTCACGTAGTGGTCTCAGAACATTCAGGAAAAGTTCTTCCTTGGAAACTGTGTACAAAAGGGAAAACCACAATATTTCTTGACCACTCGGTGGGTTCACATCGCCGGGGAGCAGAGGGTATGAAAAACCTGGGGTGAAACAAAGTAGAGAACATGTGCTGAGGGTAAGAACAGGCCTCCCTCCAGGGCTCAAATCTTGTGAGAAAAAAAAAATAAGAAAATTTCAGGACTTTCCCCTAGCAGTCCAGTGGTAACGACATCACCTTCCAATGCAGGGGGTGTGGATTCAATCCCTGGTCAGGCAGCTAGGATCCCACATGCCCCATGGCCATGAAAACAAAACATATAACAGAAGCTGTATTGTAACAAATTCAATAAAGGTGTTTTGGTTTTTTCTTTAATGGTCCACATAAAATTAAAAATATCTTAAAAGAAAGAAGATCCCAAAAGACAGTTTATCTGGATGGGAGATATCCTCATGAAAGAAAGAAGCCAAGTCCATAGGGAAACCAGAGTAGGTTCTAAGGCCCTGGAGTGGCATGCAGACTTGAAGTAACCCATGAAAATTGTGGGTGTTCTCCCTAGAAAAATCCACATGTCAAATGTTATTCCAGTACTTTCATTGGATCTTCACACCATTCCTGAAGCCCATCTAAGGCCTCCTTTGAGTCCATGGACCCCAGATCATGGTTTTAGGTCATTGAAATCAGTTTACCTCCATGCCTCATTTTAGACTGTGGGTGCACACCTTTCTCCAATACTACCGCCCAACATTCTCTGTAAAGAAAAAAAAAAAAAAGCCCACATGATTTTATCAGGCCAGTTTACCAGAGAATGGCTTGGTTTTAATATACTTTCTTTCTAGCATCAGCATTGTTAATTGTATTAATTAAAATGAAGGCAGTAAAAATAAAGTAACAGGTAACAACTTGGATTCCCAAACCAGTGAATTAACATGAAAATCAGAAGTCCAGTACTTGCCATTTAAATCTGGCCTTATCTTTCCTGGTAAACAGGAAGATGAGAAAAGAAAACCCATTTCACTTTTTAAAGAACAAGGTGTTTTATTAAATTTTTTTTAAGGACAACTCATTAATAGATTTTCAATTCATTGAATTTTTTGTATTTTTGAATTTTATCTTCTGCAAAGCTACGTCTTGCCTAGCTTTGCATAAAACAAATCTCTTTGTTTTGATTTCTAAAGTCACTATAGTTCATCTTACCTTTTTCAAGCAATAAATATGATCTATTTCTTGCAACAACTAGAATATTGGCAGACCTAGTGAAGCCCAGGGTTTCCATGAATTATACCCGAATCACCTGTCAGGCGATTTAAACACCAACTGGACAACCCACCATCAGTGTTAAGTGATATGTAAAAGCAAACATTTGACCTCTGGGACATAAAAAACTTCTCAGTTTCCACAGCAGAATTCTGTCTCCCATCTACCCTGGGCCAAAAAAACTTTGCAATCACCAGTTTCTTTTGAATATTTGTATAGCATAACCATCAGCATATTCATTCATGCCATTTATAGTATTGAACCCTATTCATCCTCACCTTCACCATCTTACCTAAATTCCATTGAATCCTGGAGGTTGCTAATCATCACCACAAACAGCCTGATTTCTGGTTCTAAATTAGAAACCTCTACACTTTTCTGCTACCATAATTATTTTGTTTATGCAATAAAATAAAATTTAAAAGCAAGCTAGAATGCTGGCTCTGCAATACCAGCATAAAAAGAATTGTGTCCACGTTTTCTAGCAGAAAACAGCAGTTTGAATGTGTTATCATTCCAAAACCATCATTAGGAAAGAACTAGGGACCTAGCACGTAGTAAGTGCTTGGTGTGAATGAATGAATGAATGAATGGCAAAGTAAACAACCGGAAGAGAATTACACGCAGCAGGAATGATTTTGGGAAAGTCCGGAATCCCACAGCCTGGGCCTGCCAATGCCTGTGTGTGTTTGCTGCGGGGAAACAGCAAACCGCTTGCCTTATTTTGAAGGGGGCATGTTATTCAAGGGCAAGGGCAGCCTCTGACTACACACTCCAAAAGTCTCCGTGAATCCAGCCCAAAGATCTGGGTTCTTGTTCCCTTCTGGCTCTAAAGACCTCGGTTTACCTATCTATAAAGTGGGGGTCTTGCTATTTCAACTTTTCCAATCTCGATCCCAAGAAATAATGGATATAGCGAGTGCTGTATATAAACCAAAAAGTGCTGAAACAAAGTCGGGGAGGCAGTGACTCGGACAAGGTGTGCTCCAAGGTGAACCCCGCGAGGAGCACTTCTTAAATGAGAACGTATATTGGGGCCTCCAGGAGATCTTGGAAAATGCATCCTGATTCAGATAGATGTCTGCCGTGGGGCCAGAGATTAGTCATGCTACCGTTCCTGGCACCTCGGGATGTTGACGCTGCAGGGCCGTGGACCACTTTTTGAGTAGTAGTAAGAGTGAAGTAGGGTCAAATCTGTTCGGAGAGAGACTCATGGAGGCAGGAAGGAAAAATGGGGGAAAGGACGGAGGCAGAGACTGTCCTGCCGAAGAGGTGAGGATGTAGGAAGAAGCCGAGGTTCGGGGAGCGAGCGAGGATGCGCAGCCTGGGCAGGGAGGCGGCGGGTGCGGGCGGCTCCGCGGCTGCGCGGGCTGAAGGCGGGGGGCGGACGCGTGCTGGCGGCGACGCAGTCCCGGCCCCGCGCCCGCGGCGCCCCCGCTGCGGCCCGAGCGGCCTGGCTGCGGGATCGGTGCGCAGCGATGGCGCGGTCGCGCCGGTCCTGGGCGCCGCTGCTGTTGCTCCTGCTGGCCGGGCCGGCCGCCTGTGCAGCCAGCCCGGCGGACGACGGCGCGGGCCCGGGGGGCCGGGGACCCCGGGGCAGCGCGCGGGGGGACTCGGGCGGCGACGAGGCCGTGCCGCGCCACGACTCCTCCTACGGCACCTTCGCCGGGGAGTTCTACGACCTGCGCTACCTGTCCGAGGAGGGTGAGGCTGCGGGAGGATGAGGGGCTGCGGGAGCGGAGGCCCGGGCTGCGGGACGGAGGCGGCAGGAGTGGGGTGGGGGGCGGGGGCGGGGGCGGGGACTCAGTTAGGAGGCGAATGGAGGCTCCTCTGGCTCAGCCGAGGCCCGACCGCGCAGCGCAAGGCTCACCATCGGCCTGGAGAAGAGACCCGGAGAGCTGTCAGCGCCTTCCCCCCGCTGTTGACTTTACAGGTGGGGAGACTGAGGCCGGGAGGGAGGTGGTCAGCCAAGTCCTGCGAACCTGCGGACAGGTGGGGCTGAGTCAACCCCCGCCGCCCCCCTCGCGCTCTCTCCCGCTTCTGTCCCCCCCCCCCCCCCCCCGCCCATTCCCTGAGTTTTCAGCATCTGTGACAGGGACGGGGTAGCGGATGGTAAGGGAGGAGACTGCCATCTGGCCTAGAGTGTGTGAAATCAGAGTAGCTGGTGGGAAGCCCAAGTCCCCTCTTAAAGAGAGATTGCCTTGTTTCCTCCATGTCTGTATTGACCTAAATTTGCCGTGTAGCGTTCCAACTTCGACGTTCTGTTCCTGCTTGCTGCCCAGCCCCACCGAGAGCTGGGTCACACCTCCTTCCCCACTTCTATCCCCCTTCTGTACTGTTTTCCCATATGTCATGGACCCCTAGTGTGAGCCATTATTGTTGGGGTCTCCTGGGTCCAGCGATTGGGGGTTTGTCACGCAGACCTCCCTGCACAGGCAATATTTCAATGAGCACAAAAGCCAAGCTGATTCTCTTCAGAAGGAATGGAAACTGGCTTCTTATTTCTGCTATTTGGAAAGTGATTTTCCTTTTCTCTGCTAAGAGGAATATCTAAGAATCAAGTTGGGGTTTGAAATGTTGTGTGTCCCAGCAGCTGATAGGATGCTGGGTGTATCTGTTATTTAGGATTAAGTTTAGCTACCTACAACAAACACACATTAACAACACAAATAAGAGAAGTTCCTCTGTTAGGTAAAGAAATCCAGAAGTACGAAGTCTAGAACTGGTCATCTGAGACACTAATCCTGGTCTTCTGCTCCTTCACAACTCTTAGGGTGTAACTTCATGGCCCAAAATGGCTGCTTGATCACCAGCCATTGCATTCACTTTCCAGACAGTGGCAAAGAAGAAGTGGGAAGAAGAAGGTCACTGATTATAAAGAGATTACTCAGAAATCCCATGAAACAATTCCACTTGCACTTCATTAGCCACAACCTAGTCATGTGCTCACACATAGGTGCAAAGAGGACTAGGAAATGTAGCCTTTTAGCTGGAAAGGAATATGAACTAGTTCAAAAATTGGACTTACTGTATTCTATGGAGAAATGGATTTGGGGAAATAGATTAGTTGGGTAGATGCTTACCTGTTGAAACAGGGACCCCAACGTATAGTGGCTTAAATAAGATAGTTTATTTTTCTCTCACATGAGTCTGACTGTTCTAGACTGGTAGGCCAGCTCTGTTCCACAGTGTCATTCAAAGACCTCGGTTCCTTCCTTGTTGTTCCTGCATGCCCTAAGGCTTTGTCCTCCTCAATGTGGAGGTCATGTTGCTTGCACGTCTTCTTTCAAGCTGGAGGAAATGAGGAAGAGAGGAAGTTCAGGATAAGCAGTTACCTTTTAGGCTGGTTGCACAAATCCCTGTCATTCACATTCCTTTGGCAAGAACCTAGTCTTTTGACTTAGCTGCATGGGAGGCTTGAAAGTGGAGTCTTCTAGCTGGGCAGCCATGCGGCCTGGGAGAAGGAGAGAATGCAGGGGCAGGGTAGAAGGACAGCAAGCAGAAGTAGAATCTATTGCTCTGAGAAAGAATACATAGTATAGGACTTCCCTGGTGCTTCAGTGGTTAAGAATCCACCTGCCGATGCAGAGGACAGGGGTGTGATCCCTGGTCCCATACGTGGCAGGGCAGCCAAGCCCATGCGCCACAACTGCCGAGCCTGTACTCTGGAACCCGTGAGCTGCAATTACTGAGCCCACATGCCCTAGAGCCCATGCTCGACAAGAGAAGCCTCTGCAATAAGAAGCCCGCGCACTGCAACTAGAGAGAAGCCCTGCTTTCTTCAACTGGAGAAAGCCTGTGCACAGCCACAAAACCCCAAAGAAACCCCAAAATAAAGACTACATAGTACTAATACAAAAGCCATCTCTTTCTGAAAGCATTTAATACACAGTGATGCTGTTCATAGTCTGCTTAGCACACGGCTAGGTGACTCAGAGGTGGCATGTGAGAATTTATATTCTTGCTGGGCACATGTTCTCTACTAGAGGACAAGGTCAGATTCTATGTCAGTTTGTATACGCAGAGAATGGAATTAGTTGTGTAGTCCAGGCAGTTTTATGAACTGGACATCAGGTGGGCTGCAGCCCTGAGAAAGGCTTTATAGAGTTGAACCAGGAAGTCTAAGAGACTTTGGTGAGACGGAAGGGGGAGGCACTTGGGTGAGGTGACCCTGCAGGGGTAAAAGGCCTGGGATCGGTGTACAGATTCCTAGTTTGTCTGCTTGCCACCCTTGACCATTCTGTACATGCTGCCTGAAGCCTGGCTCTAACCCTCAAAAATCTGTGATAGTTCCAACCTCCTCCCTGGATGAAGCTTCATCTCCTATACCTGGAGTTTTCTCTCTGACTCAACTTTCTTTTACAGCCATCCCTCACTCCCTGTCTCCCTTGCACTGAGCCTTCATTGTCCATTCTGCTCCTTTCTCTGACCATTCTGCTTATCTTCAAAGGCTGATCCTACAACCATCTGGTGGGTGCTAGTGGGGATGTTTGTGAGGTAAGCCTCTCAGGGGTTAGCATCTCTTCCAGATTACCCTGGACCTAGGCTTTAGCCTTGTGGGTCCTGAGTAGAGACTTTCCCAAGATCCTTAGAAATCATCAGTGACACTGCTTTGAAAGGGTGCTGCCAGAGAGAGAGAAGCAGAACCAGGGGATGTCCCAGAAGGGTGTCCCGTCCAGAAGGCGAAAGAAAAGAGGGTATCATGAAGTGTCCTATGCCATGGGGAGGCCCAGGGAAGACTTAAAGTAGTTGACAGATTCAGAAAATGAGAGGCAATGGGCAAGTTCTCCTGGGATGAATTCAGTGGAGACGGAAGGAGGGAGCCTAGCTGATGCTGAAGGAAGTGGCAAGTGAAGGGTGGAAATAGTACCTTTAAACTATTCTTTCCATCTGTCAGTGCAAGTGGGGTTATTTTTTCTAGCGATTGAGCTATTTGTTTTTCTCTATGCAGGGTACCCCCTTCTCAGGTTCAAAATTGCCAACAGACTGAATTTTTTAAAATTAAAAAAAAAAGCAGCCTGGTAGTGTGAAATCAAAAAAGGGGAATTAGAATAATGGGATGGAGAATTTCCTGAAACTATAGGACAACCCAGTGACCATTACCTACCTTGTTCAGAGACCATTTCTCCAGTGTCCAGATTGTGCAAGACCCCCAGGCCAGAGAGTGAACACTGGCCAATTTGATGTTTCTAATAACCTCCTAAAATGTTTGTTTTTTAAACTTTAGTTATGTTTTGATTTAATGAGGCTAGTTTTCAGAATTCTTGGGGGCTCCCACTGTCTAAGCCTATACTACTCTTCCTTTACAGTCCCAGCTCAAATGCCACCTCTTTCATGGAGTCTTCCCTGATTTTCTTCTCCCATTTCCTGCTGTTAGGAAAGGTATTTTCCCACAGCACACTATCTAACCCTGCTGTGACCCTTGAACTCTCTGTGGTTGAGTTTGGACAGGTTTTTGGTGCTTGAATCCTATAACTCATACCTTTTCCCCTTGAGATTCTCAAGCCAGAATCTATGTATTCAGAATAACAGTAGAATATAAAACAGATTATTGCATGATTACAGGCAAACCTCCTGTTCTGAGGGTTCTCTGAAAAAAAAAATCAAATTGGGCATTGAAAGTGAAAGTGTTAGTTGCTCAGTCATGTCTGATTTATTGCAACCCCATGGATTGTAGCCCACCAGGCTCCTCTGTCCATGGAATTCTCCAGGCAAAAATGCTGGAGTGGGTTGCTATGCCCTTCTCCAGGGGATCTTCCCAACCCAGGGATTGAACCTGGGTCTCCTGCATTGCAGGTGGATTCTTTATTGTCTGAGCTACCAGGGAAGCATATACACTAAGATTAAAAAGACAACCTCCCAACATGGGTACACGCTACAGTATCTATTCATTTGTATTTCGGTTTGAACAAAGATAGCATCACCTTGTTCGGTGAAAAAGTAGAAATAGTATATAGACTGTTTGGGGGCAGAAAAATAAAATGAAAACAAATCACAGAAGGGGTGGTCAATAATCTAAATCTAATTTATCTCTATGAATCTAGCCCAATCATAACACTAATTTGTGCTGACTTTTAGTAAGTACTTACTGTGTGCCAGTCCCTGTCCTAAGTACCTTATCCATATTAACTTTATTCTTTAGGGCAACACTCTGACTTAGACACTCTTGCCATTCACACTTCAGAATTAAGGGATACAGAAGATTTAAATATTGTAGCTAAAGTCACACAGCTAGAAAGTAGCAGAGAACGGGGTGGGTTTGTTGATTGACCTTATGGATAAGGTGGTACAAGGTGCTGACCTGCTCTTGGAAATGCAATTGAACAGATAGGATGGGGCATTTTCATGGGCAAATTAAAGAAGAGGGGCTTGGAAGTGATGGGGTAGTCCACTGGGAGCGGCAGGTTCCTGAGTGATGGAGTGCTACGACGAAAGCTTTGCTGAACAGACTCCACGTGGGTGGAATCTTCCATTTTACAGAGCCCCTTGACATTTTCGCTTCTCTGTGTGGCTCTGCTAAAACAGAAATGATTCAGACAGTCCAGAAAGAGAAAGCGGCTGCAGCATGCCATCACTCTCGGAGATGTGAACAGATAATTTCTGGTTAAAACTTCACAAGGAATTAAGTACTAAATTAATACCTGAGAGCTGTGATCCAAGGAGTTAATTAGAAGCAATAAATAGCAAACCAGAAGCCATTAACC